CTCACCTCCTACTTTCCAGGCCTGTCCTTCGAAACAGAGTGCCAGACTTACCTGTTGATTCAGCAGAATATTAAATTCCCTCATTCCTGTAGAAATGAGATCCTTATTGGCCTGAAGAAGGGCCATCTGCCTGGTTAGAGAAAGAAGTAGAATTTAAGTAACCTTTTCCCTTGTCCCTGGATATCCGCCCCCCAACTCCCTCCCTTAAAGGTCCCTGGGTGCCTGTCACGGCCGCCTCCCCTCCAACACTTTTCAAAGCCTGCTCTGTTCTGAGATGGTGTTTCTCCCAGGTAGGGCTTACCTTCTGGCCAACAATGCTGTGTATGTCTCACCCACACTCTTCGGGGTATGTGTGTTGTTCTGTGCCAAGCTAGATGTAGGCAAGGAGTCAAGTGTCAGCCTGGGAGGGAAACACCCTAAGTCTAGGTCCTGAGAGAGAATGATAGGTAAGCCTGGGGAGGGGAAAGAGGGAGAGGCTTCCTTGAAGTCAGAAAGATAATGAGACCAAGAAAAAGAGATAAGTGGGCAGCCAACGTCCCAACACCCAAACTTTAAACACTAAAGAAACTAACATTTATTGAGGCCCTGTTACATGACAAGCCCTCTGAGATCACAACACTGTGATGGCAATTATTCTTTCATTTCATAGATGATATAGTAATAGCAGCTTACGTTACATTTATTCAGCAGACACTTTATGCCAGGCACTATTTCAAACATGTATTGAGGTATTTATCTTTATAAAAACCCTATTAGGTACTTGTTATGGACTGAACTATGTCCCCCAAAAATATATGTTGTGAATCCTGTGACCCTAACCTATGGTTATAATCCCATTTAGGAATAGGTTGTCTTCGTTATGTTAATGAGGCAGTATTAGAGTAGAATATGTCTTGAGTTAATTTCTTTTGAGATATAAAAGAGCAGATTAAGCAGAAATGGGAGAAGATAGATTCCACACCACATGCAGATCACCAAGGAACCAAAAATAAAAGCTGAGAAGAAACAAGGACCTTCCCCCAGAGCCCACAGAGAAAGAAAGCCTTCCCCTACAGCTGGCACCCTGAATTTGGGCTTCTAGCCGCCTAAACTGTGCGAAATTAAATTTGTTTGTTAAAGCCACCCACTTGTGGTATTTCTGTTACCTGCAGCACTAGATAACAGACTGTACTGTTATTAGCCACTTTTTGCAGATGACTGCCCAGCTGCACACCACAAGAATGGAGATGTATTTGTTTTGTTCTCTATCATATCACCAGCTACTCAATAAAGCAGAAATACATTTTTTCTTCTTTTAAAATATTTTTCCTAAGCTTTTCCATTTTAGTAGATGTTTTTCAAATTTCAAAATTCCTACACAAAATAAGTGAAAAAATACAAAAGTGTACACTGAAAAAGTTGACCCCCCCCGAAGTAGCCAGTATTAAAGATTTGTGTGTTTCCTGTGACATTTTTCTCCATTCAAAAATCATTATTCATAAGCACCTACATACTCATAGAGGTTTGTTGATTTGATTTTTTAATTTATGGTGTTTTCTTAATGTGGGGGGATTGGTGGTCCAGTGGTAGAATTTTCACCTTCCATGAGTAAGACCTGCATTCCATTCCCAGCCAATGCACCTCATTCACAGCCACTACCCATCTGAGAATGTTGCTATGATGCTGAACAGATTACAGTGGAGCTTCCAGCCTAAGATGGACTAGGAAGAAAGGCCTGGTGGTCTACTTCTGAAAATCAGCTAATGAAAACCCTATAGATCACAATAGTCCAATCTGTAGTAGATCACAGGGATGTCTCAGGACCAGGCAGCGTTTTCTTCCACTGTGCATGGGGCTGCCATCTGTCAGGAGCTAACTCAACAACAGCTAATAACAATAGCTTAATTAACATACAGCGAAACTGACTTCTTTTTGGTATGTTGTTGTGTGCCGTCGAGTCGATTCCAACTCATAGCAACCCTGTAGGACAGAATAGAACTGCCCCACAGGGTTTCCAAGGCTGTAATCTTTACAGAAGCAGATTGCCACGTCTTTCTTTCAAGGAGCAGCTGGTGGGTTTGAACCACTGACCTTTCAGTTAGCAGCTGAGCACTTAACCACTGCGCCACCAGGGCTTCTTTCTTTTTGGTATTTTATAGATTCATTTAACTACCTCCATAATAAGGATACATAACATTCCCATCACCTCAAGAAACTCTCTACCCTTTTGTAGTCACAAGCACACCCACCTCTAAACCAGGGCTTCTAGCCAGTTCGGAACAGTTCATTCAGTAATTGCTGACATAAACGAGGGCAGCATACGCGTTGCATAGCAACCGAATCTGTTGGCCAGCGGATTTTGACCTGAGTAGGAAACTAAGCGCTCAGGCTGCTAACCAAAAGGTTAGCAGTTCAAATCCACCCGCTGTTCCTTGGAGACCCTATGGGGTAGTTCTCCTCTGTCCTATAGGGTCGCTGTGAGTCGGAAATAACTCTACAGCACACAACAACAACAGAAAGTAAACAGCGGTGCTTCGCTCAAAGATGGTGGCCGGCACCGCTTTGAATGTGTGTCGCTCTCCAGAGTCCTGCCAATACTCCAGTCTACCACATCAGGCTCCTGAAACTTTTGGGATCCATGCAGAAGACTGGATTATTGGCAGGGCTCTGGAGGGGGACAGACATTCAAAGTGGGGCGGTCAGCCGCCATCTTTGAGCGAAGCACTGCTGTGTGTTTCCCACTCGGGTCAAAATCTGCCCGGCGACCGATTTGGTTGCAGAGTCAGAACCGACCTTATGGCACTTAACAACAACAATCCCAATGTCATTACTAATAGCGCCTTCTTTAGTGCTACTCAAAAGTCCTGGTTTGGACAATAAATGGTAACACTAGTCATAAAGATCATTTGACCCGCCTTACTTGGAGCAAAGGACCTCAAATCAAAAGGACATTTGACATCTCTAAATAATTATGGCGAACACCTAAATAGCACCTGTTGTGTGCTGTGAAGTCAATTCGGAATCATAATGACCATACAGGACAGAGTAGAACTCCTCCATAGGGTTTCCTAGGCTGAAAACTTTACAGGATCAGATCACAAGATCTTTACTCCTGTGGAGCAGCTGGTGGGTTTGAACTGCCAACCTTTTGGTTAGCAGCTGAGCACTTAACCATTGTGCCCTCAAGGCTCCTTAAATAGCACCTACTATGTTCCAAACATAGTTTAAGAGCTTTGTACATATGACTCCTTTAATTGTCATCCCAACCGTGTGTGGTAGATACTAGTATTATTCCCATTTTACAGATGAAGAAACTAAAAAAACCAGAGAGATTAAGTAACTTGCCCAAGATCTCACAGCTATTAAGAGAAAGAATCTGGATTTAAACTTAGGATCTCTGAAGTAAAATAGGTTGGCTTCAGAGTTCTCATAACCACTAAACTGTTAATCACAAAGATACACTCGCAGAAGTTTCAAAGAGAAAAATTAATACTAGACATCTTACTTTTATTTTAAGGTTTTTTCATACCCACACAACCAAATTTTTAGCTGTCAGGCCAGAGGCCACCTAGTGATCTGATATCAGTTGATCTCAGCATGGGGCGGGGGGGCAGGGTTCAATCAATCATGTTAAGATTAGCTAATGGTTGGTCTTCTATTCTTCTTCCTCCTCTTCTCTTTATAAGTATCATTGTAACTAGCCTACTTCCAGTCATTTGCTTTGTTTTTTGAAATCAGAATGGTCTCCCTATATGCATATAGAATAACCGCTCAGAATAAACCTTATGTTTCAATTTCTTTTATTTTGATTATTTTTTAACAGAAGCTAACACTTAAAATATAACACAATGTTTGTAGCACTTCGATTTTTCACTCTGTCAGAAAACTTAAAAAAAAGTGTCCCAGCTTATCTTGCCTCAGAGACTCTGAGTAAATCTCCGATAAGGTGAGAGGGGGTGGAAGTGTAACCCAGGTCAAGGTCTATGAGGGGGGAGATATTTGGGAGAATCAGAAGTTTCCAGTAGGGAAGTGGTCAGTTAAGGCCAAACTGGGAGTGGGGGGTGGAGTTAGAATGTCAGGCTAAGGAACCAGGATATTTTATTTTCTGAAAGAAAGAGGATTCTTTTGGCAAATTTCTAATCTGGAGTCAGTATACTGCACTGGATGGGAAGGCGAAAGGAAGGCAGGGAAAAGAAAAGAGGTATGTTCAGAGGTAGGGACAGAAACACTGTCTTTAGACTCCCTCCCCAATTTCATGGACATCCCCCACACACACTCAGGCACTTCCTGCCTGTTTTTCTTGTTTTCTGACACTGTTGCTGCAATCCCTCGATTTTGCTGATCCTTCAGATGTCCTCAAAGTCCTTTCAGAAATAATAATATTCCAGTCTCAGGGAAGGCAGAAGGGCAGAGAATTTCTAGTAGAGGCCAGAGATGCTCAGAAGGAAAAGAAAAAGAAAAACCACTGGGCAGCTCAACATGGCCTCGGGGACTTTCTGGGGATCATCCATTCATTTATAAATATCTTTTGAGCACCTACTTTGTGTTAGGTACTGGGGTAAAATAAGGAGTAAAAATATAGTCCCTGGCCTCGCGACAAAGAAGGCACCTGGGGCCCAGAGAGGAATACTGACTTGTCCAAAGTCACACAGCTAAAAATTTTGTTGCTGCACTGGGTCTTGAACACAATTATTCCCTAGAGACGCCCTTTTTCCTTCTCCTCATAGCTGGAGATTGCAGGTCACAGGAATTCTGGTTCTTCCCAGACTCGGCGGGCCAAAGGGCCCCCATTCCTCCCGCAGCCCAGCTACAAAGTGCAACAAAGAACACGGGCTGGCCCGCTCAAGGGTGTCCAAAGCGGGAGCCCCGGAGGTAAGAGCCAAAGAGTCTGGTTCCACGCCAGGACAAAAGGGGACGCAGAGCCTAGTGGCAGTTTCGCGAAGGAATTGCCCCTCCGCAGCCGCCGTAGCCCAGCCGGAAGTGTCTCCCGGCCACGTCTTTCATCTGGTTGGACTCCGGCGAAGAGATCCACGATGGTCCAGAATGCGGGAATTGAAGTCGCGCTGTGCTCGGAGCAGTTTGGCTCCGGGGCGGCCCGGGGATGCCGCGCCGCCGCCGACGGGAGCCTGCAGTGGGAGGCCGGAGGGTGGCACTGGTGGGGGTTCTCCGGGGTTTTCTCGGTGAAACCCGAAGGACGAGATGGGGGCAGAGGGGGGACTCCTGGGGCCGCCTCATCTCCTCTCTCCGGTCTCCTGGCTGTGTTCCTGCCGCAGGGCTTTCCTGACAGCGTCAGCCCAGACTATCTGCCCTACCAGTTGTGGGACTCCGTGCAGGTCAGCCCAGCCGTCTGAGGCAGGAGGAGGCATATGGCCGGGGGTGGGGGGATCACAGTCCCGGACCACCTACTCCTCATTTACAGACGGGAAACTAAGCCCAGAGTGGGGGAGTAACATGGTCCAGGTCACACACCAAGAAGAAGAGCCGGTAATAGAACTTAGACATCCATGCTCCTGCTCCCACTCCTCACCCCACTTCTTCTCTTCTCCAGGCCTTTGCTTCCAGCCTCTCAGGCGCCCTGGCCACCCAGGCAGTCTTGCTGGGCATAGGGGTGGGGAACGCAAAAGCCTCTGTTTCAGCTGCCACAGCCACCTGGCTCGTGAAAGGTGAGATGGGCCCCTGGAGCCTCACCTATCGCTGCCCTCCGCCCTGCCTTTCCTATGGCTCCCCTTTTTGGACTCAGGGGCCAAGTCTCCCCAGTGCCTAGAATAGTGCCTTGCATAGAAACTTTATCACCCCCAGCTGGGATACCCTCATTTATCACACACCAGCCTAGCAGCCACACCTTATTCCCCATACAGACTGCTCAGAGACCCTAAATAATCTGGATCCCAAATCCTTAAGTTAATCACCCCTCCCCTTTGCCACTAGTCATTAGAGTATAGTTACTGAATAAAACTACCAGCTGCCTGGAATATAGGGAAAATTGCTTAGTTCCAGAGAAAATAACGGTAGTAGATAGTCCTGAGTAGAAGAGAGGAGATTCTGGAAAGGATGCAAGGCATGCTAGAGTCTCTACCTTATTAGATGAGGCTATAAATAATCATTGCAACCGTTTGTTGAGTGCCTACAGCTTTTTTCAAAACTACTATAAAAAAAAGTACGGTTTGGTATCATGCCATCTACAGTGTGAACTAGAGGAAAGGGAAACTGCCAGCTGCCCTGTGTTTCCATATCAGGAGGGCCCATGGCTCTCTTCAGTGTCCTTTCTCTTTCATTACTGTTCCCAATGGATATTGAAATCCGACCCAAGGGGAGGATCATTCTGCTCCTAGCATCAGCCTAGCCGGATCTCTGGTGAGCACCCCTAGATCTTTGGAAGAATCAGAAGGTTCCTGCTTACACTTTTGCCTTTAAGGCATGAGCAAACTGGCCAAATGTGAGTCACCTCTGGAAAGATGCTCTTTCTCTGATAGTTCATGTGGCTTGTTGACCTGGCTGTCCCTTTTTGTTAGTAATAATAATCCACACAAACAGTGCTGATTATGTGCCAGGCTTTATATTGATTGACTCAGTCTTTGTAAAAACTCTGAGATCACCGGCAACCAATTGCCTTCAAATCAATTCTGAGTAGAATTGTGCTTTATAGAGTTTTCAATGGCTGATTTTTTCACAAGTAGATCACCGGGTCTTTTCTTCCGAGGTGTCTCTGGCTAGACTCAAACCCACCAACCTCCTGGTTGGCAGCCAAGCGCTTAATTGTTTGCACCACCCAGGGACTCCAACTCTGATATAGATACTGTCATTTGCATTTTACAGATGAAAAGTAACTTGCCCAAGGCCACACGGCCAGTAAGTGGTAGGGCATGGATTTGAACTTAGGTAGTCTAGCTTCAGAGTCCGTTTCCGTACCACCACACTGTGCTTCATTTGGATCCTTCTAGGTCCTCTCCTGTTGGCTGAGTTTTGGGAATGTAAATGGAGCAGAGTCAGTGGTTGATGTTTTCATACCATGTCTGAGCGTCCCAGTGTTACCACTGACATGTTGCCTATATATTTCTTCAGCTCAAACAGGTTGAGAAAAAATAAGACGATTTTAAGATTTGAAAGAATATCTATTTACTTTAGAGCCTGTTACTGATATTAAAAGAAGCCCTCTTAATTAGAAAGGGTTCTACAAGCTTGTTTCTGTCAATGATGGTGAATTTGTTGATCTAATACAAGAATATTAAATAGAATAATGAAAAATATGTGTAGAATAAAACTTGAAGAGGGTAAGGTAAGTGATCAGTGTAAAGCCACCATGGTGTGTATTAGTTCCAGGGCCCAGCAGGGGACACAAGTGGGAGGAGCAGAGCTGGTGGGACAGGAACTGTGTTGTGCACATGCCTCTTGCGAATGAGGCAGCTGCTGCTCAGCCCCAGCCAACGGTGGTGAGAAAAGATGGGCCCAGCATTGTTGTGTGTTCAGGTTCTTCCAGAAAAGCTAGAAATCCAAATTTTCCTATAAAAAACACATACCAAGAAGAGCCAGTAAGAGAACTTAGATCTCCATGTTCCTGCTGCTACTCTTTACCTCACTTCTCTTCGTAAGGCCTTTGCTTCCAGCCTCTTGGGCTCCTTGGCCACCCAGGCAATCTTGCTGGGCATAGGAGTGGGAAACACCCCCTTCTCTGAGCTTTAGTTGCTTCGTCTGTGAAAGAGAATAGTCTCTCCCAAGCTCATAGAATTATTATAAAGAATGAAAGGTATAGGTATTTCAGGTGTCCACCAGTGTGTCCAGGGTGAAGTAAGGATGTCTAGCCAGATATCTAGTTAGAAGACCTCAATGGCCAAGAACAGAAGCTGGGACAAGGAGTAAGTGCATCTTTTTCCGGTGGAGAATGGGGAAGGCTGGCCTGTCTCACCATCCTTATATATTGTGGGAAGCCCCTGACCCTCTTTCCCACAGCCTAGTTTCTCTTCTTGCATCCCCAGCTGAAGGGTCCAGGCCCTCAAGCTCAACAAATTGGAGCCCCCTGCCTACTATGTGAGTCCATCCCAGTTGTTTGGTTCTAAAGCATTCCTTGTGCTCTGCCTGCTAGGCTCAATGGGTGCTACTCCCAGCATAAGGGATGGTCTAAATCAGGGATTGGCAAAGTTTTTCTGTAAAGGGTCAGATGGTAAACACTGCGGGCCATACAGTCTCTTTCGCAGCAACTCAGTTCTGCTGTTGTATCATAAAAACAGCCAGGCATGGCTGTGTTACAATAAAACCTTGTTGACAAAATCATGGAGCGGAGGCCTACAGACCATAGTTGACCCATTCCTGGTCTGAATCAGTGTATTTCATACTGATTACAGTCTGTTCTTACACTAGATTTTGAGGCTAGGGCCATGACTGGTTCACTGCAGCAAGCCCCTGCTTCACATCGTACCTGGCACAGAGTCGATAACCAGTTAGCATTTGCGTGCAAATGAAGAGCCAGCGGATTCCAGAGACTTCTGTGACCTCCAGCCTGAGGTGTCCTCTCTCTCTGCCCTTTACCCACCAGCTCTCTCTGTCACCAACCTGAAGTTTAAATCCCTTTTTAAATTTATTTATACTCTTAGTGACCACCTGTGAACCCACTACCCAACCGAAGAGATATTAGCAATAACCTCTAAACTTTTCACTGAGGATTCCCTGCTTTTTTTTGAAGTAGTTTTACCACACTGATATACCTAAACACTTCAGTTGTTTTAGAGCTTTATGAAAAGTTTGTCGTGATATATGTAGTCTTCATGACTTTTTTATGCAGGATTTTTGTAATACTAGGATTTATCTACGTTGATGTCAGTAGTTGCAGTACATAGGATTCTCACTGCTCTAATGTGCCATTGAGTGAACACACCAGAATTTATTTATGCATTTTCCCATTAATGGGCATTGGCATTATTCCCAGGTTTTTTTGCTGTCATGAGCAATGCTGCAAAGAACGTTCTTGTTTATGCCTCTCAGTATGCCTTGTACATATTTTTCTCAAGTATATTCTAAGGAACTGCTGGGTCTGGACGCCTGTGACCCATAGTCTAGGTATGTCTGTCCATAACTTAACACACCAGACTCAGCTCCCAAGGTCAGTGACCCAGTGTGAATCAGGCGATTCAGTCCCAGGGTCTGCCAGGCTCCACTGCCCTCGAGGCCCTTCCTCATTCATTACCAATCGGCACCTTCTCCTCTCCCCTAGATTCGACTGGCATGCTGGGCCGCATCGTCTTTGCCTGGTGGAAGGGGTGAGTTTGTCTTCTCGATCAGCAAGCTTCTGGCTGCTCCCCCCAAACAGAGGTCATGTCAATTTTTGTAAATCGTTTTATCACATTATATATGAAGTGCATAACGGAAGGGGCTAAGAACCTTGTACTGCCTGCTCCTCAAAGCAGCAGGCATGAGGGATAAGGCAGCACCAGGAGTGATGGAGCAGTGGCAGTGGGAATATTCGTAATAGTATCTGCCGTAGATGGTGGTTGTGAGGACTCAGAGAGAGAGCCTATGCAAAGGGCTCAGCACATCACATGGCTTATAGGAAGGGCCCAGTATACTAGCTGCCATTAGCAGTGAGCTCTGACTCTGCCCCAGGGGCTTTCTGTATATCGCCTCTAGTTCTTAATAACAACTTTTTAAGGTAGGATTGAATGTGTCCATTTTAGAGATGTGAAACAGGCCTAGAAGAGGGAAGTTACTTGCCCAAGGTCACACAGCTTATAACTAGTGAGATGGGATTTGACCCTGAAGCCTGTATTCTTTCCATGGTAGAAGACTGGTTTAGTGAGCAGAGCCCCACACCAGGCCACGTGTCTTACTGCTGCATTCTAGTCCTGCTTCTGCTCCCCACTGTATATCCCGTTCCCCACCCAGGAATGCTCCCTTTGCCTCCAGGAGATTTCAAATTAAAGGTCAGGGTTAACACTGCAAATGCTGAGCTGGACCGAGCGCTGCAACATCTGCCACTGGGATCTTGGAGAAGTGGTCCCCAGATGTTTGTACAGAGGCTGGGGAGTCCCTCAGCCTGATGCAGGAGAGGCAGCCATCTGCAGTGCTGTGTAGTAGAAATAGCCCAGGCCTGGATGTCAGCCTGGGTCTTTCTCTTGGCCTTTCCCCCCACTCTCCAGGTGATCCAAGGGAAGTCCTAGCTCCTCCTTGAGCTAGTTATCTGTAACACGAGGGGGTTGCACTAGTTTGGTTATGCCAAAATGTGTGGACTTCCTGCTGGATATTCTCAATGAAACCAGAGGAAGAGGAGGGGAGATGGCAGAGGAACCTAGGTATAGCCTCTCAGAAGGCCAAAGGGTAGGGAGCAGCCACAAGGCGGTCAATTTTTTCCTTGCTAAGTCATAGCTTAGTAAGGGAGGAACACTAGATGATCCTCCCAGCTAATGGTAGCACTTCAGGCTGCAGTGACAGGCCGTGGGGACAGATATCTGGCTGGGGGTATGGGTTTTCCAGAGCCCCTCAGACCTTACCATGGCCTGGGACTCCCACCATTGTCCACAGGATGTTTTCTCCTTAAGTCAAAATCACAATATTCTTTTCTCCCCAACAGGAGCAAGCTGGACTGTAATGCCAAACAGTGGAGGTAAGGAGGGACTGAGGCAGAGGGGAAGGGAGTCCTGTATTATGAAGGTCTCTTCCCTCTGGCCTCTAACCTCTGATCCTTTCCCCCAGGCTTTTTGCTGACATCCTCAACGATGTAGCCATGTTCCTCGAGATTATGGCTCCTATATTCCCAATCTGCTTCGCCATAACTGTCTGCACCAGCAACCTGGCCAAGGTACCCACCTCTGGGGAACCCCCAGGCCCAAGGTACCTGCCTGTGGTGATCCTGTCTGTGTGTGGGCTCACCTGGGGCCCACAGGTGAGCCTAGCCTGAGCCCTGCTCTCAAGGCACTTCTAGAGGGGTGAGAAGGTTTTGACGTTTTCACTGGGACCCAGCATCAGCCAGGTTTTCTGATCTCCAGCCAGACAGCCTTAGTGCCTCAGACAATCCGTCTAAGGCGGTGTCTGGAGCCACAGGACTGGTCGGGAAGCTCCAAATCGAGAGGCAGAAGGAGTGGTCCAATGTCAGTGTCTTGACAAGAACCTTTCATTCTTTCAAAAAAATACATACTGAGCATCTAATGCATGTTTGGCACAGTACATAGGCCCTTCTATCTTTGAAAGGAAGCCACACATAATTACACAAATATTTATAGAATTATAACTACAGGTATTCCAGATGAGAAGTTTAGAGACCTGAGAGAGGGTTCGGCGGGAAATCCAACCTGGTCAGGGGATGCAGGAAGGCTGCCCCCAGGACAGTAATGTTTCAGCTGGGTCCTGAAGAGTGAGTTCTAGGTGCAGGGAAGGTGTTCTGGGTAGAAGGAACAGTGTGGGTCAAGTCCAGAGGCAAGAAGGAACACAGTGGGTATGAGGAACAGGCAGGAATGGTGAAGAATGAAGGAACAAGCAGCATGAGTGTGAGCTTTTCCTCTATGCAGGCTGCTCACCTGGCACAACAACTCGTTGAGGTTGGCCTCATCCAGAGGAGAAAACTGAAGCCCAGTGAAGTTCATTAAAGAGCTCACCTGTCTCCACCACAGGGTTAAGTGCCCAGCACAGAGTAAACACTCTTAAGCAGACACATAAGACCCATCTCAAAGACCCATCTATCTGTTTAAAGTCACTTTAAAGCAGTGTTTCTCCACAGGGCACTGCTGGCATTTGGGGTGTGACAGTTCTTTGTGGTGAAGGGCATTTAGCCTCCTTGGCCCAGGCACTAAATGCCAAGAGCATACGTGTACACACCTCAAGGGCAGGACCACCCTGGAGAGAATCACTGCTATAGTTGTGGACCAAGGATGGTGACCTCTGACATTTGCTCCAGATTCTGCCACTAAACTTCACCCTTGAGGCCTCAGTCTCTTCGTCTAATAAGGGAATAGAACAGGACCATGAGCTCCGCCCCCCCGCCCCCTCTTTTAGGGTTTCCTGTCTCAGTGACCCACACCTCCATCCCCAGCTATACTAACCAGAAGCCCGGTTATCATCCATGCCTCCTCCTCCTCCCGCTCACATACTGCCCTCAGCTAACCCTCCCCTGAATTGTCGTTTTTCCCCCTTAATCTCTACAGTCGATTTGCCTACTCCTCCGTCTCCCTGTCACCACCAGCTTGTCGCTGAAAAATCACAGTGTGCTTCCTAGCTGGTTTTCCTCCTTCCACTCTCACCCCTCCTCAGTGCTTCTCAGAACAGCCATGCTTTAAAAATGGAAGTCAGGTTAGGTCACTTCCCTGGCCAGAACCCACCATGGCTCCGCATTGCTCTTAGAAGAAAGAGCTTAACAAGGTGTCCAAGGTTCCACATGGTCAAGTCCCTGGCGGTCACTTCAGTCTCATTTTGCACCACATTCCTCTCACCTTTGAACAACTTTATCATTTTTTTATAAGCCCTATGAGGGCAGGGGCCGTGTCTGACTTGTATCACAGTGTCTAGATCTGTGTCAGCGTCTTAGTCATCTAGTGCTGCTCTAACAGAAATACCCCAAGTGGATGGCTTCAGCAAGGAGAAATTTATTCTCTCACAGTCTCGTAGATTACAAGTCCAACTTCATGGCATCAGCTCCCCGGGAAGGCTTTCTCTGTCGGCTCTGGAGGAAGGTCCTTGTCATCAGTCTTCCCTTGTTCGGGGAGCATCTCAGCACAGGAACCTCAGGTCCGAAGGACGCGCTCTGCTCCCTCCTGACCCTGCTTTCTTCGTTGTATGAGGTTCCCATGTCTCGCTGCTTGCTTCTCGCTTTTATATCTCAAAAGAGATTGGCTTAAGACACTATCTAATCTTGTAGATAGATGTCAATATAACTTGCTAATCCATCTTATTACATCACAGTGATAGGATTTACCACACATAGGGAATCACATCAGATTACAGAATGGTAGACAATTATACAATACTGGGAATCATGACCTAGCCAAGTTGACAGATACTTTTGGGGGGACATAGTTCAATCCATGACAGTCTGGTGTCTAGAAGAGGCTTGATAAATACGGGCTAATTGAGGGTGACCAGTGACCTTTAGTGACCAGTTACCTGTGAGCTTTACATCCTGAGATCTTAGAGGATGAGATCCTGGTGCCCTAGGAGGTAAGGGCCACTGATGTGGGTTTTGAGCTGACCTCAGTGGCTTAATAGGACTAGGCTGGGGTAGGAAGAGAGTAGAGGAATGAACAGGCAGGCAGAATGTTCTGAACAAAAGCATAAAGTTGGAAACCAGACTAGGCTTGGGAGCTCAGCAAGGGGAAGGGCACAGCCAAATTAGGAGTTGGAAGATGGGACAGTAATGGTCTTTGGGCCTCCACCTTGGGAAAGGAAGTTGGGTTTCCAGAGACCAGGTCCACAGGATGATAGTAGGAGGCAGACTTTTGTTTTCTCCTGAAACAAGACTGGGGAGGTGGGCCTAGGGGTAGTTTGGGATGAGAACTAGATTGAGGAGAGCTTTCAGGGGTTGCTGTGGGGTGGCCCGAGGCCTGGTTTTCTCAAGCTGGTATGAGCCATTTACTTGGCTCACCCACAAAAAGCGTCTCCGTTGCCACATCACGTGGTCTCTCTGCCCTTCACTCTTTCCTCTCCCCACCCAGTGCGTCGTGAGCGTGGCTGGCGGGGCTACTCGGGCTGCACTGACCATGCACCAGGCCCGGAGAAACAACATGGCTGATGTGTCAGCCAAGGATAGCAGCCAGGTGAGCAGCAGAGACGGGGGAAACAATGTGGGGGAGAGGGGTCCAGGCTAGGCCACAGTTTGGGAGTATGGAGGGAAGCACCTGAGTACCCCTGGGCATGGGGCTGGAGAGCATGGAGGAGGAAATGTGGGTGCTCCCTGCTCTGACTCACAGGCCACACAGTCAGGTGTGAGGGCATGGGCTCTGGTGGCAGCCAGTCCAATTTGAGCATCTCAGCCCCTGCTTATGTGGCCATGAGCGAGCCCTCGCCCTCTCTAGGCCATAGCCCCACCCTAGAAGGTGGATGTTCTGAGCAAGTGCGGCTCCATGTGTGAAAGTAGTTAGCAAGTCCAGAAGCACTCGGCATGTGGAGTGGCCAGGGTCATTGGCTGAAGGTCTCCACTCAGCAGTTTAATAGGCCCTTCTTGCCCAGCCCCTCCACCTGACCAAGGGAGCACATCGTAAGGGTGGGAATACCCTTAAGACATGTATTGGATCCCCCTAAACCTCTGTGCTCAGTGCTTATGTGCATTATGTCATTTAACTCCTATCCCAATGCTGTGAGGTGGATACTGTAATTATGCCTGTCTTACAGGTAAGGAAAGTGAGGCCCAGGAAGGTCCCAGACATGCATGCTGATTTTCTTTAACACTGAAGCAATTTGTAAACCTCTGCTCTGCCTAGTCCTACTTTCTGGCCTTCCCTTGCATTCTTTTTTGCTCAGTTTATAAGTAGAACTTTATTTTAAAAATTGAAATAAATAAAACTAACACCCATTAATAATATCAACATAAGCTAATATTTATTAGTGGGGGCATTGGTGATTTTTGTCCACCTTCCATGCAGGAGACATGGGTTCTGTTCCCAGCCAGTGCACCTGATTTGCAGCCACCACCTGTCTGTCAGTGGAGGCTTGCATGTTGCTCAGATGCTGAACAGATTTCAGCAGAGCTTTCCAACTGAGATGGACTAGGAAGAAAGGCCTGGTGATCTACTTCTGAAAATCAGCCAGTGAAAACGCTATAGATCACAATGGTCCGATCCGTTTTTGTGGGGTTGTCTCAGGACCGGGCAGTATCCTGTTCTGTTGTGTATGGAGTTGCTATAAGTCAGGAAGTGACTCGACAGCAACTAACAGCAACAGTATTTATTAAGCATGAACCGTGTGCCAAGTATTTCATTTGTGTGAACTCATTAAATCTTTAAAATGGTCTTGTGCAGTAGGTACTCATTGTTACCATTTTACAGATGAGGAGACAAGGCTTAGAGAGGTCCAGTCTCCCTGGGTAGTCTTGGGCAAGTCCCTTCTCTGTGGACATGATTGGGCCAGTTCTTACTGTCTCTTCCAGCTGTAAATCCATGGGTTGTTAGAGCAGGAAAAAATACGTACAATCCAGGCACTGCCCTTTAGGATCTTCTAGCTTCATGCCTGCTCTCTCACACCCATGCTCTCCCTCCCCTCAGCTTCTCTCCAGCTGTGTTTTCCCAGGCCCCCAGGATTCCTCTGTCCACAGAAGCAGTGATGCATCCCAGGGGCAACCTGGGACACGTGCTCAGTCCTGTAGCAGGCCCTTGCTTTCTGCTGATGTTGCTTTTCTTGCCACCTGGTATGGCTGCTGAAAACGACTGTGGGGAGAGGATGTCCCTCTGCTCCTGAGCTCCTGAGCTCTTGATCCTCAATGTACTGTCACACCCGTAGCCATCATTCCCACAGGCCCCCTCTGTGCCAGGACCAGCTCTCCTTGGCACCCCAGTAGCCAGGGGTACCAATCCAGACTCCTTCTTCATGAGTTAGCAGGTGGCCTGGGGTCTTTTCCCATAGGGGCACCTCAGTTAGGCCATCTCAGGCCAGCAGATAGGTTCTAATAATATTGAGTCTCAAGAGAAAAGGTTTGAGTCTTGTTCTTTTTCGTCCCGTGTGGTTCCTTTGCAATTTTGTCTGCCTCTTCCGCAGCTGTTGCGTACAAAGGGATTTAGGGGGTATTGGCCTTTTTTAAACCGCTCCGTAAAAGTTCCCCACTCTGTGAACGTTTACTTGCTGAGTGTGGGGCTACTCAGAAGACTGTTGCACAACAAAAGCTACTCAGAAGACTGTTGCACAACAAAAGCTACTCAGAAGACTGTTGCACAACAAAAAGGCACATTCCAAGGGTATTGTATCTGTCTGGGCAGAAGAGCAGCTGACATCTTGTAAATGACAGCTTACTCATCAAAAATGTTAAAAATTTACTAGGTACCTCATCAGAGTTGGGATCCCTGGGAGGTTCTGGAGTGGGGAAGAATGTGGTGAAAGACACTCAAGGACATTCAGTCTGATCTGGAAGAGACATCTCCAGCTCCGAACTCCTCTGCCATTTTTCAGGAGACACTGGTGAATCTGGCAGGGCTCCTGGTCAGCCTCTTGATGCTTCCCATGGTGTCAGATTGTCCCAGGTGAGGTGGGGTCAGGAGTGGAAAGGAGGCGCCCAGCTTGGCCTCTGACCCTGTTGACTACCTCACTCTCTCACCCCAGCTTGAGCCTCGGATGTTTCTTCCTCCTCACTGCTCTCCACATCTATGCCAACTACCGGGCAGTCCGAGCCCTTGTCATGGAGACCTTGAATGAAGGCCGGCTCTGGCTGGTCCTAAAGCACTTCCTTCAGAAGGGAGAGGTGCTCAACCCCACTTCAGCCAATCAGATGGAACCACTGTGGACAGGTGACCCAACCCCGTGGTCTCGAGTCTGTGTCTCCCAGCCTCTCCCCCAGCCTGGGCTCCTGACTCCAGCTTCCCACAGGTTTCTGGCCATCTCTGTCTCTGTCCCTTGGGGTCCCCCTGCACTGCTTGGTTTCCAGGTGAGTGACCCAGTGTCCCTCCCTCTACACTCATCACTACTGCCACCCCTACTCCCTATACATGCTCCTTACTCTAGTTACACACTCGCCTCCCATGATCAGGCCCCACTTCTCTGTTCTAAGTTCTTTATTTCCACTGAACAGACTTGGGGAGCAGCAGGGATGCTTGAGGGTAATGGGCAGTGTAACAGAGTAGATATAAGTGATATACGTGTTGGTTGAAAGAAAGATAGGTGGATGGGTGGTTGATGTTGAGAATGGATGACTAGATGCAGAAAGAAAGGAAGGATGGTTGTGGGATACGTTGGTAATGGGTGAAGGATGGATGAAGTATGGACAGTTAGGGTTAGGTGGCTGTTCAGTTGATTGGAAGGTTACTTCTGCCTTTGCTCTCCCTCTCCCCCACTGCATTCCATTCTCCCAGTGTGTCTGAGCTGCAACAGCTGATTGACGGGCACCAAGAACCCTACCTCCTTCGCTGGGACCCATCACGAAGTGAGTGTGTGGTGTTCTCCCAGACTTAGACTCACCCTCAGGGGGTTAGCTCCTCCTTCCTCCAGCTCCAGGACCCCAAGCCCTGGACAAGCCTGCTGCAGTTTGGAGGCTACCTGGTGTCCTAGGGGGAGCTCTAGACTAAAACTTTGATATGTGCAAATTATGGCTTCTTTACTAAGCTCCATGCCCCAATGAAATTCACTTCACCTCTCTGTAAAATGGAGCTAACAGTACCTGCCTTATTAGCTTGCAGTGTTTTTATGAGGATCAAGTAAGGTAATTATGTAAAAGTACTTTGTATATTGCAGCACACTTACTCAAGTAAGATAACGATCTTTGGTTATCTGTGGGAACCACTTTTCTCTCCCATCCTGGATGAGCTCTTGGGGTGACAAGCCCCGTGAGCTTACTGTCTGCTTTGAGAAATAACAGTATTCTCTCTTTTGAGATTGTTACATAAAGGTCTGCACATATATAAAGCCAAACGCCACACAGAGCTAGAAGAGAGGGCCTGGCTGTTGACAGGAAGCACAGACAGTAAATGGTCATGCAGTTAAAGGTGCTCGTTCTCACTAACCATTAAAGAAATGTAAAATAAACGCATCTCAGTGAGCCACCTTAAAGCTCTATTTGGAAACTGAGCATTTCAGTTTGGCCAGAGCATTGGGAGATCAGCAAGAGATGAAGTTTGAAAGAAGGGGTTAGGAGATGGCCTTCCATGCCAGGCTAAGGGCTCTAGGGGCAGATGGGTGAAGCAAAGTGTTTGGGTTGAGGATGTTTGGGGAAATGGCCCTTCCCTGCCATCAGTCTCTCCCTGGGTCTCTCCAGACCAGATACAGGTAGTTCTGAGCCAGACGGCAGGCCCTGAGACGGTCCTAAGAGCTGCCACACACGGGCTGGTGCTTGGAGCCCTGAAGCAAGATGGGCCTCTCCCAGGAGAGCTGGAGGAGCTGAGGAACCAGTTGCAGGCAGGTAGGAGCCTTACGATCTGAGCTGCTGCTGATTTGGGGGGTGAGGGGTGGGGGGTGGAGGAGGAGGCCCTTCTCTCCTACTTAGGGATCAGAGAGCTTCTGTTTCTGATAACCTCCTCCTCCCAGGTCCTGAGAAAGATTGCTGGGTCATTGTCAAGGAGACACACCAAGTGTTGGACAAGCTGTTCCCAAAGTTCTTGAAAGGTAACATTCCTCAACCTTCTCCCCTGAGGCTCTGGCTCCCTCCACCCCACTTTCCACCTGGGAGATAAAAGACCTTGGTTCTGTGACCTTAGGTCTTAGCTCTGGCCTCAGTTTCTCTGTAGGGCGGGGAGGTCAGGGTGGTCTCTCAGGCTGCATGAGTGTTGACAGTCTGTGTAATCCTAGTTGGCACTGAGGAAGCTGGGGGAAAGGGGAGAAGAGACTCACATTTATCGATGATTATCCTTTATTTAGCACCTGACTCCATGCCAGCCCTTTTCCATGCGGTATCTCAGTGAATTCTTACTGCAACCAGATGAGGTTTTAGCCTCATTTTATGAGCTCAGAGTGGGTAACGACTCACCAGGGACACCCCTCAGAGGCAAGAGGAGCCCAAGTAGTGCACAGAGCCTGTACCTGGCCTGTGGCTCTGCTAATCCCCCTCCCGAGGGTCAGCCCAGAGTCTCCTCCCCAGCAGTACCCCATGACCTCTCCCCAGGACTACAAGATGCTGGCTGGAAGACTGAGAAGCACCAACTAGAGGTGGATGAGTGGAGAGCCACATGGCTCCTATCTCCAGAAAAGAAGGTGCTGTGAGCAGCCCAGAATGAGGCCCAGGAGCCAGGAGCAAGGACACTGGCCACAGCAGAATGTGTGAAAGGCAGTTTTATTTTTGTGTAGGCAAACTGCTGTGGCAGGTTGGCCAAGGTCCTGTGGAAAGTGACTGGGCCCCGGGCAGAGACAAGGTTGAGAGAAGGGGAACGAGGGCCTTCCCCACTCCTGCCCCACCCTTTTCTTGTGGGGCCCCCACCCCACTCCTTGTGAAGCTGAGCCCTGGCCTGGTTGTGGCTCATGGTGTCCAACATAGTTGCCTCAGGCATAAAAGCCCCAGAGGAACATGGCCACAGCCATCATGAGCAGGGCGTTGAGGTTGACCACACGGGCCCAGGTTGGGTCCTCACTGATGTCCTCCAGCCGCCTGGCTGCTGCAGCAGCCTCCTCCTGAGCAGGGGGTGGGGAACTAACCGCCCCACCGCTGCTTATTCCACAGAACCAAAAGAGGCAGTGGCGGAATAGACCTGGTGCTGAGGGCTGGGGCTCTGGGAGAAATGGAGGCCCTGCAGTTAGCGAGAGGGAACTTGGCCCCTGAGCCCCGCCTCCTCGGGCAGCGCCTTACCCTCCATCTCCGCTGCGTGCTCTAGGCGCCCATTCTGTACAGGGAGTGAGGTTGGGCCTTCCAGCTCCTCATCTGCATCCAGGTCCTCTCGATCCTCCTTGCTGTACCGGAGACTGAAAACCAGGCGGTGGAGCTGGGGAGGGGTAGGAGCAGGGGCCAGGTGGGAGTTCTGTTCCCCCACCCCAGGCCCTAGTGTCTTGTCCACACTGGCGAAACAGCCCTCTCACCGCCCGCCCTAGCTCCCTCTGTGCAGCTTGCACACCTGGCCTAGGCTCAGCTCATTTCAACTTAACCTTCCAAGGGTTCCCTTAGTCCTCAGGCTAAACCCAAGCTCCTCAGCGGGGTATTTAAAGATGCAGGCCCTGTCCTCTTCCCCTTTCATCACCCCAAGACCCCTGTCTACACCCAGAATTGTAGCATTTGAGACTAGTGTACAGTCTTACACAATTTTCCTTCTTGTGGTATTTGCTCAGTTTCTACCTGCTGCCTCTCCTCCCTTCTCCACCTGTGGAACCCTGCCCATCCTTCCAGGCCCAGCTCTTTTGTCCTGCCCCCCAGTCAGCCCTTCACCTGCCCAGCAGCGTCACAAGACCAAAGCCTTGTATGGGCTTTCAAGATGGCACTCTGTCCCTCTCAGCCACCAGTCAAATCCTGTGTTTTGAATCCCAAGGGCCATGCCAAGAATTGGCTTTGAGGCACTTTGATCCCCAAAGAAGATTGTGACCTCCCCCATAATCTTCTTCAGCCCACCTCTCCCAAAACCACTTTAAATAAACGTCATTTAATGTAACACGTTGTGCCTGCTCTGCAAGTGAAACTTCAAGCTGGACTCCCAGCCAACCTTCAGTATAGAAACTCTCTAAGTGTGCCCCCACTGGGCCTTCCTGGAAGCAGATGCGCTCAGGGAGGAGAGGGAGCTGCACTGACCTGGACCTTGCAAGTCTGGGACAGGAGGCGGCCCAGAGGCCAGCACTTACATGTTTGCGTGGGATGGGCGCGGTGCACAGGGAGACTACGAGGGTGAGGAGGCCGGAGCAGACAAAGAGCACGATGGCAAAGTAGAGGTAGTGCACGCCGCAGATCAACGCTGGGCACTTCGAGGGTCTCACGCAGCTGCCCGAGCCAAAGGAAAACTCGGGAATAAGACGTGCCAGACCCATCAGCAGGCCCCCAATCAGTCCCCAGAAGGCACCCTGCAGGGAGGAAAGAGTCAGCCTCCTCAGAATGCCCAAACCCTGCCCTAGGCTTACGACGTAGGCTCACCTTTTCATTGACACGGGGCACAAAGAGAGCCAGGATGAAGACGGCAGACACAGGTGGTGCCAGGTAGCTGGAGACCGACTGCATATAATCGAAGAGCTGCCCGCCCTGTGCTGCCTGCACCACGGGTAGCCAGGCCACCGACACAGCCACAATGAGCACCACCCAGAGCCTGTGGTGGAGCGACCGTCAAGGGACTTCACTCATGACTCACACCTTCCCACAACCCTGCGGGTGCTCCCTGCCCCTATCCTGGGATAATTCGTGGGGCAGGAGGGCAGGGAACGCAGGCTTCACCGTCCTACTAGCAGTAGCTCGGGGTCGCTGGCACGGGGTCGCAGGCGCGTGTAGATGTCCATGGTGAAAAGTGTGCTGCTGCTGTTGAAGATTGAGGCCAGCGAGGACATTAGCGCCGCCAGCATGACCGCCAGCATGAGTCCGCGCATACCTGCAGGCGGAGGGGAGCCATGAGGCCCAGGACACGCTGGTGGTGGGGGCTCCGCGAGGGGCGCCCCCTCGAGTCAACGCGGCGTACCCGCGCGTGTGGGCAGCGGCCAACCCGGGTGCCCACCCTTACCATTGGGCATGAGCTTCACAACAAGCCGCGGGTAGGCGATGTTGGAGCAGCCTACCTCGGTGCCACACACGCGCTTACACACCTCGGGCACCACGCACGCCACCTCATCTGCGGGAAAGAGGCCACAGCGCGGCTAGGGTGGGACCGGGTCGCGGACTAGGATTCCTGAAGTGGGGACTGGGAAGCCTATGAGAGGGGATGTGGGACCCTTGGTGGAAGGCGGGGCCAGGCGACCAGATGGATTCCTGTATCTTAGGGCGGTATCGGAAATGGGAGACAGGCACCTGGATCATTGCACAAGAAAGAGGCTAGGTGGAGCACAGAAATCTTGGTTCAGGATGGGGATGCGGACATTACCCGGGTAAAGAATGCGGCTGATCATGCCTGGCATGACCATGAGGAACATGGGCATCAGCTTCAGGTAGCCGCACAGGATGCAGCCTGCCTTGATGTGGGTCAGGTTCTTCCCAGCCAGGCAGCGCTGCACTATGACCTGCGACGAGGGACATTCAACCACCTGTGTCCAGTCCCTGAGATTCCCCCACCTCACGCTTTGCCTCAACTCGCCCTGACGATTCAGATCGCTCCTCTGGCTCAGGTGGGCCCCCGGTTCATTTCCACCCTCAGACTCTGGCCCTTGGATCCAGCTCCACCTGGTTTAGCTCCATCCTTAGCGTGCTTCCCAGGGCCTGGGTCCCGCCTGCTCAGACCACATGTTGGAACTCAAAGCCGGGCTAGAAGCCGCCTAGCTCCACCCATCTCAGCTCCACTCAGCGGTTCTGGCTGTGCTGGAGCCCAAGCCCTGGCCCCGCACCTGGTCACTGCACCAGTACCAGCTCGAGACGATGGTAAGCCCTAGGAGCAGCGCGGGCCACGGCAGGTCGCCCGTCACAGGGTCCCGAAGCAAGTGGTAGGAGTCAGGACGGGGTTGATAACAGGAGCTGGAGATGTTGCCCAAGGCAGGGTCCTCGGACACTGTCAACGACGTCATTGCCCCCAAGTATTTGTCGAAGAGCCCCGAATACCCGCCCACTTCGTGGAAGGCTGTGTGTGAGCAAGGCCGTCAGGGGACCCAGCGCCCACGCCAAGGCCCTCCCTGGGACTCACGTGCGGGAAACGCGCGATATCCCTGCTCCAGCGTTGAGAGCTCTGCGACCCTCGACCTCCAGCTCCTCCCCCCACCGCTGGCTGAGCCCTGTACCGTAGCCCATGAGGATGAAGGCCCCCACGATAATGACGAAGGTCTGCACCGTATCCGTGTACATCAGCGCTGCCAGCCCTCCTGCAACGGGCCTGGGTCAGTGGGGAGAGCCCAGCTCATGATGACAGACAGGCCGCCCCTAGCACATACAGTATTTTTGCGCGAATTCAAAAAACGTGCCCCTTCCTGGAGAACAAATATCAAAACGATGGCCCATTCTCTGGGTTAATGCACCCGGGCACCAAGAGGCTGATGAGCAGAATGTGGGCTGAGTATTAAGTTCCAGTGATGCCTCCTTGGCCAGGCACCCATGTGCAAGACCCCCACTGCTGGCTCCTCTCTAGGCCCCACTTTTCTCGCCTATGTAATATGAGGGAGTGACTCTCTGAGGTCCAAATTCTCAGTTCCATCCCATCCCCAGGCTGGACCCCTCAAACCCGCCACTGGCACAGGCCACGCCCTCTCTTGTCCAGCGTTCGGCCTTAGGCTCCACCCTGGAACCCTCCGACCACACTCGGTTTGGCAGGATATCCTAGGGACTGGCAAAGTCGGCTCCCCTCCCAGGCGTTCAAAAGCTGCTGAATCTTCTTTTTCCTCAGTTCCCACTCCGAGGCTCGGCACCTGTTCGGTGCTCGGAGCTTCCAATCCAAATCCAAGTGGGGAGAGAGGGGGAGTTTGTTTTCCAAAGGTTGAGGTGCCCCTCCTACCTGGACCGCATCACACTTTAGAACCTCTCCTCCCTGCTTTCCTCTGGTGACTACCCTAAAACCCGCCCACAGCTCCACGGCTCTAAGCAAGTCTCCCAGCCCTGCTGTCTTCCCTACCCCCCTCCCGCGGCCACCTGTCACCGTGTAGATCATGGTGATGCCCAAAAGCGCGATGACTGAGGCGTAGATATTCCAGCCCAGAGCTTGCTGGATGAACAGCGCTCCGGAGAACATGTCCACCTTGGGGGAAGGAGCCAGCGCGCAGGTCAGGGCTCAGGGGCCAGGGCAGGGACCCAGGTCCACCTCCTGCCCAGGCCACATCCCTATGTGACCAAGCTCTGGAAGGCTCCCTCATTTTTCGACGACCTGGCCTTCCGAGGCCCCACCACTGTGGCCATGGCTCCAGAGACATGTTCCTTCTAGGCCCCGCCTCCATCCGTTCTTTTGCCCCGCCCTCTCCAGGTCTCTTTTGTGTACTGGGGGTAGATTCCGACTCATAGAGACCCTGTAGAATAGAGTAGAACTGTCCAATAGGGTTTCTGAGCCTGAAATCTTTGCGGGAGTAGATTGCCTTTTCTCCCTCAGAGCGGCTGGTGAGTGAACCGTCGACCTTTCAGTAGCAGCCAAGTGCTTAATCATTGCGCCACCAAGGCTCTGTCAGGTCTCTCTAGAGACCTCCTTTCAGCGGCCCCGCCCTTCCTGCGTCCCGCCCCGCCCGCCGCTGAGGCTCACCGAGATCTTGGTGAATATGTACAGAAAAAGCGAGAGCATTGACAGGTAGAGGCGGATGCGGTGGCCGCCGAAGCGCTTGCGCAGGTACTGCGGCATCGTAATGACGCCCGCGGTTCGGTACACCGGCGCGAAGAGCCAGCCCAGTAGCAGCACCACGAACAGCGCCTGCGGACACAGCGCGGCAGCTGATGACTCCATTCCTGAGATCCTGCGATGAGAGCGGCCCCGCGCTCCCCGTCTGAAGGGTCTGAGAGAACTTCTCTTCGTGAACGTGCTACTCCAAGGCAAGTGGCCCTGAAAAGGGTCACGCCTGGGGCACGGAGGGCGCAACTGGTCCTGAGCCCTGTACATTAAGGAGCAGGGTCTTGACCCCTTCCTGGGCCCTTAACCAGAGCCTTGCCTCCATGACTCGTGGCCAGTCCCTCCCAGGACGGTTTCTACCCTACTCCTCCTCACCTCATTCCCCCACCTCCCATCTCTAGCACATGAACCTAAGAACAGACTCCTCAGCCTGACCCCTGTCTCTGTCAGGCAGTATTACCTCCCTTCTCCTCTCCACCCTTCCAAGACTTCTGTCCGTCAAGGCTCAGCTCAGAGGCCTCCTCCTCCAGGAAGCCCTGAGCTCATAGCCCTGATCTCCCCAAGCCTCTAAGGGGCGCCTCAGACCAAGAGCTTTGTCTCCTCTTCCGAGCAAGGGGCTTTCATTTGGCCCAGGGATCCTCACAGGCCACAGCTTCAGAAAACATCAGAACTAACAAGCGCTGCCCTATCTTTGAGGCCACTCACCCAGCTTCAGAGAGGAGAAAATCAAGGTCCACAGAGGGTAGTGGCTGGTCCAGGGTCACAGCAAGTCAGGGGCAGGACCTACCCTTTCCCTGAAAGCAGTCATCTCGTGCATCTCCCACCTCTGAGCTGGACATTGTGACACTCATTCCCAGCCCAGCCCCAGCCCACAGTTGGAAAGGCCCACCTCCAGTCTCACTTACATCCCCCAGCCTGGAGCTTCCCCAGGTATGGCCCTCCCAGGAGTCCCCACCGGGGGCAGGGTTATTGGTGAAAAGAGGATCTCACATTCCACTCGAATCCAGCCACAGCCAAACCACTTGCAGCACCAGTCCCTGCCAGGCCCACAAAGTGGCCGCTGCCAATGTTGCTGGCAAAGAGAGAGGCCCCAACCTGGGTGGCCAGAGGTGGGGTGAGCCAGGCTGCCTCCCTAGGCCTCCCCTCCCTCCTCCACAGCCCAGCTCTGCTTACCGGCCACCATATCATGCTTTGTCCCGCCAGGAAGTAGCCACCAACCGTGCCTCTGTTGGTTCTACACATGGACTAGGGGACAGGAGTGAGGAACACCTGGGTTCAGGACACATCTTGAGACCTCATTAGCTTCCTCAACAGATTCTTCAGCCTTGTTTCAGGCTGAAGATTAACCAGCACTTGGCTCCCCTAATCTCCCTCACCCCATCTCCCCCGAGGCACCCTGAGTTTGGCTGGATTTGGCCTGACTTTCCTGGGGATCTTGGATATAGGCTGCTGGTCAGTCATAAATGTGGTCCGGGAAACAAGAGAACTCTTCATGAACGCTGACCCTGATGGAAATCCACTAACTCGCTCACTAACTCAATCCAAAGGTGGGAAAACAGGAAGGAATGTTGGCTGTGCCTCCCTGAGTCTCTCAAAAGACCTGCTTGCCTCCCAGCCCTGGGTTTATCCCTCAAAAATCCAGGCATCCTACCACCATCCCTACCATAGGGTCTTCCAGAGACTTTCCCCCCAGACCTCAGAGGCCTGGCTTCCAGCAGCACCCCTTGACCTCTCACCCATAAGCCGACACCAATGACCAGCAGGAAATAGGCGGCAATGACCAGAATGTCAGCAGTGTTGTCGATTAGGACACTCTGGTCCTCCAGTCCTGGTGCCGAGCTTGCCTCTGTGTGTGCCTCCATTCTGACAAGGATCTGCCCCTCAAGGGACCAGCTCCCGGATGCCCCCAGGGGAGGGATTAATGGTTACCTCAAAGGCAGTGAGCTGGCAAGTCCCCCAGTCCTCGCCCTCTCCCCACTTCAGCTTCATTTAGCTGAATCAGGTCATAACAAGACCAAAGCTGATCCTGGGGAACTGGACCCTTTCCAGTTCAGGAGCACTCCTTCCTAGGCTTTAGTCCCCACCCCCTCCTCAATGGCCCAGGCTCAAAATCACCTCTTTCACCCACCCTCAGCCTCTACCTAGCGAGCCCAACTGAACCAGGCCCCTGGTTCTAATTCAAAGGGATCATTTTCATATCCAAATCTAACAGTATCACTCCCCTGCTCAGAAACCCTCCAAAGCTCCCTACTACCTTCAGGAGGAAGTTCATACTCTCAGTCTAATATTCAAGGCCTACCATACCCTGACTTCTCTCTCTTCTCCTTGCTCTTCCATACAAAGCCTACAGTGAAGCCACGGTTCCTTTCTGATTTCCCTGCCCAGCCCAAATATTTGCATACCTCCAAACCTGTGTCCTCTGCTTAGAGTGTCTTCTCCCGCATAACCAACTCCTACTCAACCTTCAGTACCCAACCTGTGTCACCTCTTCAGGGAAGATTTCTCTGAATTTTCTGATACAGTTCTGAGCACACTGTGTGGTCCTTGTGTGGGTCCAGGCCTGTCTCCCCAACAGACTGTGGGGATGCTTCAAGAGCAGGGACTGGTCTGATTCATCCCTGGAGTCCCTTTGCTCAGCACAGGGCCAGGTGTAGAGAGGGAGGAGGTTGGTGAATACCTGACCCTCTGCCTTTCTATACTATCTTTGAATGTAGGGGAACTGTCAAGGGGAACTCCTGTCTGATTATGGAAGCTACGGTCATCCCTGAGATAGGGAACACAGAAAAATATTTTAGGGGAATATGATGAGTTCTTATGGACTATTTTAGTTTGAGTTCCTTCAGAAGCAGCCCCTGAGACAAGAATCTGGGTGCAAGGACTTTATCTGGGAGATGATCCCAGGAAGAACTGTGAAGGAGTGGGGAAGTGAGACAAAGAAAGCAGAAAAGCCAGTAAAGTGTGATTTGATTAGTAGGTTATCCCTGAGGGCAAATGGGACTCAATCCCAGCGGGGACCCTCTGGGAGATGGAAGAACACACCTCGGAACTGACCCTCAAGGGGCCAGGAAGCTGGGTTATTTATTCACCAATTCCTGTCTCACCGGTTGAAGGTTGCAGAAATTTCCCTCACACATTTCAGGCCTGCCCAATACATGAAGCACACTCCCGCCCCTAGAGAATGCCCTTAGGCAAGAAGTTTGGGGAGAAGTTGGAGAGTCTGGGCACTGTCTGCATATGACTTCCTAGGTGAGTCAAGTGAGTATGGGCAAGCCATCCACAGTGTCTGCTTCAGTGGGTGATGAGTTTGAAGTGCTTAAGAGAACTCCAGGGGCAAATGGCAGAGGACACATTTGGTTTCTTATGGGCTTAAAATAAAATCTGTATGCCCTCACTGTGGCCTAAAAGGCCCTTCATGATGTGACCCCTGCTTCCCCTTGGACTTCCTCTTCTCACTGGTCTTCTTTCCTTTCTTACAATAGGCCAAGTATTTCCCTACCTCCTCGCCTTTGCACTTGCATTCTGCCTGGAAGGCTGTCCTCAGCCTATTTGCTTGGCCAACTCCTTCTCAACCTTCAACTCACAGCTTAAACATCACATTTTCACAGAGGCCTTCCCTGACTACCAGGTTCAAGTGAGCCCTTCCCCACCTTCTCTTAGTCCTCTATTTTTTCCTTCTTGCCCTCCCTCCTTTTCTTTCTTTCCCATTTCTCCTTTCATTTAACAAACATTTATTGAGCACTTACCACACCTTTCCGGACACTGGACAGACAATGGTCAGCAAAACAGACACATTCTCTGCTCTCAGGGAACTTGCATTCCAGTGTCAGAAACAGATATAAATAAGCAACCAATGCCTATTTACAATAGTGATTGCTCAATAAACACTTGGTGAATGAATGAATCGAGACAGGAGATGGCCATTTTGGGCATCCTCAAGACAGGAAGGTAGCTACAAGCCAGAGGATGGATGACGTCCTCCAGGATGGAAGAAGATCAGTAGGTCAGGGGAGACCCAGGAAGAGGAGCCTTGGAGAGGAAAAGATCTGGGAGGCCTGCCTGAAGCAAGGGCACCTCACCTTTGTCTCCTGCTCACACATACTTTCCTTGACTACCAGCTCCCCCTGAAGAGCTGAAAGAGTCTCTGGGGATCCATTGTTTCCAGCCCCAAATGTCCCTGTTGTCTAGATCCCAAGCCCCCTCCTCAGGGAACTGCAGGGTCCAAGGTGAAGGTTTAGGGGCTCACGAAGTCCCCTGGGGCTTGAGGACTCAGATGGAGCCTGAACTCCACACTTGAAACCTCTGGTTCCACCCTTCTCTGCTGGGACTTAGCTCAGGTATCACCTCTTCCAGGGAGCTTTCCTTGACTCCCAGTCTGGGTTAGGCGCCTCCTCCAGGCTGCTACAGTCCCCAGTGCTTCCCTCAGTTCCTGCCCTGACTACACCAGGTGTCATCCTCTGCTTAGGTATCTGTGTCCCCTAGGCAGGATTGCTCAGACCTGACTCTCTCTCTTTGTGGACCCAGCACTGCGCAGCACAGGGCCAAGGCAGAGGAGGCCTCAGGAAGTACTAATGAACCAACAGGGAGAGTAAATAATGACTCTGGACATGCCAACTTCCTGCCTTCTTCCATATTCTGGGTAATTCCTACACATTTGGCTGGTGCTTAACAGTCCGGATGATGCCATAAGGATGTGGGTGTTTGAAGGGTGGGGATGAGAAGGTGGTAAGCTGGGGCCATGTCTACATGAAACCTACAGGCTACTGGAGACGGTATGGGTCAATACTAGTGCCTTAGTGCCCAGATCCAAAGAGTGGGTAAATTGGCACTTCTGGATGAAGCTCCATCTCCGAGGGTCCTTTAAAGAAAAAATAATTCTGGGGACTAAGCAAGGGGAGAGGGAAAAAGCAGATTAACTGCTGGTTTCAAGGATGTAGGAAGCTGAAGAGTGAGGGTGGGTAGGGAAGGTGGTAGTAAAGGCTCAGCGGGGCCCTAGCCTGAGCTGTCCTGCCTCCTCCACTATCTGTACAATCCTGCGCGGATCGCCGTCCTATCCAGCCTCGGGCTCATCTGCTATTTGAAGGCCGTGAGCGGCTGCCTGCTAGGGCTGCCCGTTCTGCTCCTGCCACAGACTGTGGCCTAGAGCCCGCCCGGGACTGAGCCAGCCCAGGGGCGGGGCGTCCAGACGAAGGGCTCTGCACAGCACAGTCGGAGACACGGCACCAGCGAGGCGTGGAAGGTGTTTATGTAGGTAGAAAAAGGTGCACAAAACGGTGAGGGAGCAGGGACGTCCCGTCCTGGACTCTGATTCGTCGGAATTGCAAACTCCCCCACCCTCTGTCGGGGGCTCCCACAAGGGCGGGAATAGAGTGAAGGGCTCACGAGGAATCTATCTTCAGTGTACGACCCACTTCCAGGATGTATGGCCTTAGGCTTGGCGGAGCCTCTTCTGAGCTTGACAGAATGCAAGAGTACCTTAGGGGCGGGGTCTCTCCAGTGGGTGAGGCCTTACAGACGGGTTTAGGGGCGACCCCAGCTCAAAGAGCAGGGCCTTGGGGTCTGGAGGACGTGGCACCCGCGAAGGGCGGGGTCTGTGGGAGCTTGGCCCCCGGACCCAAGAGCCTCGTGGGCGGTCAGCCGAAGAGCTTGAGAAAGCAGGGCTGGCAGTAGGGCTTGCCGGCGCGCTCCTGGAAGGAGCCTTTGGTGAGCGGACGCAGGCAGAAGGTGCAGGTGAAGTGGTCCGGGTGGAAGCGGCGGCCCAGGGCCGACACGCAGCGACCCGTGACTGGGAGGCCACATGTGGCGCACAGCGAGCCGCGCCGCGCATGAAAATGGTTCTCACACAGCGGGCGACCCTCGTGCTCGAAAAAGCTGCCTCCTGAGAAGGGCGCGAAGCATTCCTGGGGAAGGACGGTTGCGAAAAGGAAAGTCAGCGGCCAAACCTCAATCCAGAGAACCAGCCTTGAATGACCCAAGGTGACCCCGTATCCCGTCCGCGGACAGGAAGCCCCGCCTGGGGAAGAACACTGCCCTGAATCAGCCATGGCCCCGCCCCAGGCTCATAGTCCCTCCTCTCATTGACCCATCCCTCTAAGTCCCCACTCCACCGCAGCGCACCCTGCAGACAAAGCAGTCTGGGTGCCAGAGCGCGCTGAGCGCCGAGATGTAGTTATCCAGAATGGGGCCTTGGCAGCCCTGGCAACGCGGGGCGAACAGTTGCAGGAAGTCCCTGCGACAGTAGGGGCGGCCGTCGCGCTCGTGGAAACCTAGGGGCGTGAACAGAGTGGGCTGAAAGAAAAGGGGGCGGAGCCGGACTGGGGACACCCAGATCTGAGACCGTGAGGCCAGCGAGACCTGGCAGTGACTAGAAGGCAGGAGCAGGGTCTGCGCGCGGGCACAGCAGGAGGGGAGGGAATGGGCGGGGCCTGGGAACCCACAGATGGGAGAGGGTGGGGTTAGAAGAGACTTGGAGAAAATTCACCCGCGAGGACTCCGGAGGTCCGAGCCTGCGGAACCAGAGGGGGGACGGGGTCAGGCCGACTAGAGGGACGGTGCGGGACGTCCAGCGGACCCGCAGCTTTTAAGGCGGGAGTCAAACTCTCACCCTCATCCCCGAAGGGCTCCCTGCAACTGACGCAGCAGAAATGCTCCGGGTGCCAATGGGTGCCCAAGGCGGTAACCATCTTCTGCAGAGAATGAAAGAGGACACTCAGTGTGCCCCTCCTTCCCTTCCTCTCCAACCGGGACCTAGGTGAGAGGGCTGAGGTAGACGCTAAGACGCTGGAGAACTAACAGGGTTCTTGTGAGTCAAGGAGAGAAGGTGAGGTCGTCCAAGGGGCCGTGGATTGGTCAAGGGATAAAGCTGGGGGTGGGGGAGCGGGCCTGTTAGTGGCAGAGGTCACAGAAGCGAGGGCCTGATGTGCCCGCGAGTGGGGCTCACGTGTTGGATGGGTTGGTTGCAGAGGCCACATCTTGGTGAGAAGCGCTCAAAGTAGCACTCGGGGCAAAAGGGGGCTCCGTCCTTCTCAAAGAAGCTGCTGCCTCCTAAGGCCGTGGAACAGCCACCACAAACGAAGTGCTCCGGGTGCCAGGCGCGGCCCAGCGCCGTCACCACCTGCGGGTTGGGGTAAGGCCAGGGTCAGAGTGGCCCTCGGGCTGCCACGTGCCCAGTGAGCTAAGGTTTATATGGTGCTTTCCCAATCTTATCTCTGAGAGGTCAGGATGAAGAATATAATGTCCATGGTGGGAAAAGACTCTTTCAAGGTCATGCAAACTACAAGTGATGGAGAGTCAACCCAGGTCTTCAAGCTTTGCTCCAGAAGCGACTCATCCATTAGGCACAACACGCAGTGTTAGGGCACACAGTATTTTTACGGGCCTATGAAAATGTTTTAATTTCTTTTAAAATTGGAAGAAGAAATGAACTAGAAGAAAATGTTTTAATATATAATATTAATACATTCATCTTTATAATAATGCAGTAATAAAATACTGTGTAATAAAATATATGTATTTATGGCGAAAGGGACCCATGAAGGCAAAAGTGCCTCAGGCCCACGGAAGTCGTAATGCTGCCCCACTTTGCTAACGTTAGGAATTCTGGGATGGGCACTTATCTAGTAGGAGGAGCCTAGTCAACCATTGGGCACAGCTGTTGTCAATCACGTCTGTTCAGTTAAGCCTAGAACCAGTTTTCTCAGACCAGACTCTCTCTGGTGGAGAAGGGATAGTTTCTGTGGATGCTTGAGGGGTGCTGAGTGGAGCCAACAAAGCTTTTGTGAAGATTAAATGAGATGGGTTTTATGTTTTTAAAGGGGCCAGCACAGTGCCTGGCACAGAGTAGGACCACAAATGATAATTGGGTTGAAATTCTCACCCTGCCACATACTTGCTATGTGACTCAAAGCCTCAGTTTCCTCATCCATTAAATATGAATAACAACAGTGGCGTCACTAGGGTTGGTGTCACCCAGTGCAGTAACTCATGGTGTCACCCCCCCATGGACCTCCTCCCATACCAGACCATACAGAACCCTTAGTCATGTTTTTTGTATTAATGTTATCCGTAAATTCTCATATATCACTGAATGCAATGGTCATAGGAGTGACGCAAATAACTAGTAAAATTAAATTACGTCTTTAAATGACAATATCACACGCACAGCCTAGATCACTTACATTTACATGGTTTCATATGGTCAAAGTGAAAATTTGGAATGAAAACAATAGAATATGAAGTGAAAATGTTTAAGAAGTTCATCAAAATTATGTTCATTTTAATATTAAATTTTACGGTTACGTGAGATACGTTAATAGGTTAGGTAATCGGGGGCAGATTATCCAACAGGCAAGGTAAGCACAGTGCTTTCCTAGCTTACCAGATGACCTGTAGTGAACAATTGCACATTTTTTCACCACATCAAAGATTCTGCTTCTAGGTGTGGCTGGCATCTGTTTCTCTCCCAACCCCACACAGCACCTTCCTACAGAATCAAAGCCTCCTTTCAAATTTACAGTCCCTAACTGGGGTGGATGACCCCATAAGCAAGGTAAGCACGGGCTTAATAATCTGTAGTGAACAATTTCACATGGGTTTCACCACATGTGAACTTGTTCACTCAGATCATCTTGGTGCTTACCTTGCTTATTGGATAATCTGCTTTTGATTAGGTTTGGAAAGCTGAACTGAGAGAGAGCGAGACAGAGCAAGCCCTGCGATCTGACCTAGCAGTTTCTGCTCTCAGGTCATACGCTTTCTCGTCCTCTCTGCTCCTCCCTACCCAGGGTGGTATTGACGACTGTTTCTTTTTAAGTCTGATTATTTGGGGAGGACTTTTAAAATTTTTAAATCAAACTCTCCTCTCTTGGAGGGTTTCTACCGGCTGGAAGGTCCAGGGACCTGTGCTGTGCACGTGTGCATGTGTGTGCATGTGTGCGTGTCCCAGGTGCTGCTGGGTGCATGGGGCTGGGCTGGGCACAGAGGAGGCATGTGCACTCCATGGCCAGCCCCAGGGGAGGGTGTGTCACCCCTCTGACAGTGTCACCCGGTGAAGTCTGTACCCCCTGCACCCCCAATGATGCCACCGAATAACAATAGTACCCATTTCAAACAGTTATTCATTAAAAGGGAACAGCACAAAGTCTAGCTCTCAGTAAAGACGGATCTGTAGCTACCTGCCCACATTCATGGGGCTCCACTTACTTGCCCAGCAATGGGTTTATTGCAGGAGCCGCAGAGGCCCTTGGCCTGGGTGGGAACACCACGGCGGCTGAGGTCCGACTGCAGCAGCCCCAGCATGGTGTCTAGGCTGCCCTTACTGGTTGGCTCTGGTGGGGATGGGGAGCCCTCGTTCACGGAGCTTGGCACTGGAGGCTGTGTTGGCCCAGAGGCTGGAAGCTGCATGATGGAGGACATGAGAGTTGAATCAGCAAGGAGGCAGATGTGGAGAGGCCTAGAAGGGGTTGGAGAACCCCAAACTGACACCGACCCGCCCCCCTGTCCGACTCACATGGTTCTGGACACGGAAGTCAGAGAGTGAGGCCATGAGTCTATCCAGCTCCAGGGTGGCTGAGGTGGCCGAAGGCTTTGCAGGGACAGGGGATGGGCTGGGAGGGCTGTGAAGACACAGCTTGTGTCAGCGCAGAACCTCCCAAATGTTCCCTCCAGTAACCCAGGTATCCAGGGCCCCTGTCACCACTCTCTCAGCCCTGACAACTATGCCAGACTCACATATTGGGCCTTTTTTTGTCCTCAGATTGGTCCTCCTTCTGCTCCCCTGCAGCCGCCTTGGTAGATGGGAACTGAGACATTATTTCATCTGGAGAGAGGAGAGAAGGGCACTTGGATATGGGGCCATGCTCAACCACCCTCCCAGTTAATGCTTTAGCAGCTACTCTGGGATGTCTATGACCATTAGTCTCTGTCCTTCCTTGCCCACCCCCCATCCCATCAAGGCCTGTCTCAGTAACCCTGTTACCTGTGATGTTGAATTGGGTTGCATTAAGTTCCTGGAGCAATCGATCTAGCTCACAGAGCCCAGTGCCCAAGACACCACTGGAAGAGGAGAATGGAGGGGCCGCAGAGGCCGCAGGCTTCGGGGACCGAGGCTTGCATACCGTACTGGGAAATAGGGTGGGAGCCTGGGCTCAGGGGTGGGGAATCCAAGCCCCCTCACCTGAGCCTGAAGTGGGTTCCCCATCCCCCAGCTCCCAGGCCCCTCACCTGTACAGATGGTCTTTGTCCCCAGATGCTCCCAAAGACTCCCCAGACCCTGTCTACAGAGAGAAGAGATGCATGTGTGGGATGCCAGGCCTGTAATTGGCTTCACTCAGGCCCAGATTTCCCTTGCCTTGGCCAGTGGCTGGCCCAGCCCCCAGCATTTGACCTTACCTGTGTCTGGTGGTCATAGGGCAGGGGAGGCGTGAGCGGCTCTGGGGGTCGCTCTTTTGCAGCCCCTGACCTTGGCATGTGTGAGGTAGTGGTCTCCAGGTCAGAAAGCAGAGCATCTGCAGGGAGAAGAAGCCAGGGTGAGAAGTTGAGGGGTCAAGATTAGGGCCATCTGGAGTTAGAGGCTGCGTTTAAAGCCACCAGGAATTAGAGGGCTGAGACAGGGCCTTAAGAGATCAGAGGATAAGGGTTCCTAATGGGTAGTATTTGAGAAAGACAGAAGTCAGTATTACGAGCAGAGGTCAAGAATCAGAAGGAAACATGGCGTCAAACCAAGGCAAAGACGTGGAAGGGCAGCAAGGAATACTTAATGACCAGAACACCCTGATTGGCTCATCCTGGGAATCAAGCACAAACCCAGCCGCCTAAATGTTTAATTCTCCCCATCTTCCCTGATGCAGTCAAAATTGGTTTTCTCAAGCCAAGTTTGGCTCCACCCCAAATTGCTCAATTGGCTGTATGCCTGGTATCCAGCTTTCTGATTGGATGCTCCCTTTGCCTCGCCCATTAATTTCTCCCTCTACCAAATCAAGCCCCTCCTAGCCCTGGTCCACCTCCAGGCCTCACCGGGTCTCGCTCTACGCTCCTCATTGGCGCGTCTGCCCAGGCCTGCGTTCTGATTGGTTTCTTCTCCACATAGCCAGTGCCCATTACCCTTACAGAGGCGCACCCTCTACTGGAGGGTGTCGGAACTCCTTCTCTTCCACGGAGGGCACAGCATTCCAGCCCCAGCTCTAGCCCCATCAGACAAGGAGGACAAGATGCCCCAGCCCTCTTTCTGGGCCCCAAGACCTCCTCCTCCTTCCCCTAGAGCTGGGTTCTTTTAACCGTTTCCTTTCCAAAACCTAGAAGTCCATGCCCCTTTACTCCTCATCTCTCATCACTATGGTGAAACCCTTAACCTCTCTCTGGCATCTTAGCACTCTATTATTCTCTTTCTTGCCTCAAGGACTTGACCCCTTCCCACACTTAGGAGCCCTTAACTCTTCCCTTCCCCAAATCCTGTAGAACTAGATGTCACACTCTTCCACCCCTCCCTCCTCCACTTTGCCAGTCCCCAGACCCATACCCTTGTAAGCCGTCCCTTCCCAGGGACCTTAAGCAGAAGCGCCCACGGGGCGCTGCACCTCCTTGCCCATCCGCTTGCAGCCAAGGATGGAGGTGCACAGCGAGGAAAGAAGGGACGGAGCAGCTGGCCGGGAGGTGCAGCAGAGGAGAGTCAGGAAGGGAGACGTGGAGTCGGAAAGGAGGCGCGGGCAAAGACCAGAAGCAGGAGTGAGAAGACGGGAGGCCGGGATGGGGAGATACGGGGAGTGCGAGGGACGCTCTTGGGTGGGGAAGCGGGTCCAGGCGGCGGGTGAGGAGCTGGGGACGCGGGGGCCCGGGCCCCACTCACCCAGGTCCTCCATGGCGGGGCGCGGGCCGGCGGGGCGCGGGGCCGGCTGCGCGGGGCGAGCAGGGCGGGGGCCGTGTCCGGTGGGGGCGGGGGCAGGGGGACGTCCGGGAGCTGGAGGCCCGGCTGTGACCATGTAAGGAAGCGGGGACCCGCTGGGATAGGGATGAAGGGGGGGGGGGCATGAACGGGGGAACCCAGGGTGGGGGCGTGGAACGGAGGGAAAGCCGCGGCCCACCCAGACCCAGCCACCGGCCTGCCACAGAGGCGGCCACACCCCAGCCTTGGCCTCAGCTGCCGGGCGCCCCAGGCGACCGGCCGGAGTAGGAGAAGTCATAAAAGCGGCTCTTCCAGACAAGCCCCGGAGCCCCCTGAGCAGACACCACCCCAAAGCCAGCACCTAGACAGAGCCGCCTGCCACCCAGATCATTCCTGAGAAATTTGTCCCAGAGACAATTTTTAGGTTCAGGGCAAGGAGTGATGTTCTAAGGATCAGTCAGGTCCCAGGTTCAGAGACCTTCACTCAGAGACCCTAAAGACAACCATATAAACACAGTTCCCGAAAAGCACACACACTAGATAGAAAGAAGTCTCTCAGAGACCCAGACAGACAGACACAGTAAACCCACCCGTAGACTCTAAGCTGGGACCTTCCTTCCAATACTTGGAAACAGACATACAGACACAGGTAAACTGAAACCCAGACCCAAGTCCCAGGCAGTCTTCAAGGCAAAGCCCTTTCCCAACACTTAGACGACCCAGACCTGTTACAGTTCTTTCCCAAGATACTGAACACAGGAAAGACAGCAAGACACGGACACCAGCCAAAAGAAGGCCTCCCTGGACTCAAACCCTCAGAAACAAATGGAAATGAGACACTCTAGAGATAGGTATGGATAGACACAGTTGTGCTGTAGTCCATCTGTCAGATGGTCCTGAGCACTGGACCATGGGTTGTTGAGAGTATACACAGCAGAACATACACCAATTCAACAGTTTCTACATGTACAATTCAGTGGCATTGATTATATTCTTTAAGTTGTGCAACCATTCTCACCCTTCATCTCTGAGTTGTTCCTCCTGCATTAACATAAACTCACTGCCCCTTAAGTTTCCTAATCTTTCGAATTGCTGTTGTCAGTTTGATCCCATATAGATAGATCTTAAAAGACAACAACGCTCAAGGCAGACATTCTTCACTAGTTAAGCTAAACTATTGTTTGGTTTTAAGAAGACTTCAGGGGGATATTTTTGGTTTAAAGTATAAAGATTATCTCAGGGCAATAGTTTCAGGGGTTCATCCAGCCTCCATGGCTCCAGAAAGTCTGGATTCCATGAGAATCTGAAATTCTGTTCTGCATGTTCCCCCTTTTTGATCAGCAGTCTTCTATATAGGATCTTTGATCAAAATGTTTAGTAATGGTAGCTGGACACCATCCAGTTCTTCTGGTCTCATGGCAAAGGAAGCAGTTGTTCATGGAGGCAATAAGCCATACATTCCATTTTCTCCTCCTATTCCTGACTATCCTTTTTCCTCTTTTGTTCCAGGTGAATAGAAACCAATTGTTGTGACTTGGATGGCCACTAGCAAGCTTTTAAGACCCCAGGCATTACGTAAAGAATTAGGAGCTAGAACAGAAGCACTCAGCACATTATTAGGCCAGTTAAATGGGATGTCCCATGAAACCACGACTGTAAACCTCCAAACCAAGGAATCAAATCCCGTGAGGTGTGTGGTTGTACATAAACAGCCTCAGCAGCTTTTTGTTGATGTTGTTCTTGTTGTGAATATATCTACTACAGAGAATTTGCCAAATCAACTTTTTACAGGTGTACAACTTATTAACGGCAATTACATTAATCAACTGTGTAACCCTAGCCTTAACCAATGCAATTTTTCCATCACCATAAACGGAACCTCAGTACTCCATAAGCAATAACCACTCCTTTCCCCTCCCTCCCACCCCTGGTAACCACTAAGAAACTTTGGTCTCTGTACACTTGCCTGTTCTCTTTATACATGAAGACATACAATATTTGTCTTTTTGTGATGGACTTATTTCATTTAGCATAATGTCTTCAACTTCCACACGTATTGTAGCATGTATCAAGACTTCATTTCTCTTACTGGCTACCTAGTATTCCATTGCATGTATGTACCATATTTTGTTTATCCATTCATCCGTTGATGGACATTAAGGTTGGCTGTATCTTTTAGCTATTGTGAATAGCACTGCAATAAACATTGGTGTACAAGTATCTGAGTCTCTTTCAAGTCTTTTGGGTATACACCTAGGAGTGGAAATGCTGGGCCATGTGGTAGTTCTATTTTTAGTTTTTTGAGGAATCACCACACTATTTTCCCCAGGGGCTATATCATTTTGCATTCCCACCAGCAATGGATAAGGGTTCCAATTTCCCTACATCCTTGCCAACATGTATTTTTTTTTTTTTTTTATCTTAGCCATCCTAGTGGGAGTGAAAAGGTTTCTCACTGCGGTTTTGATTTCCATCTCTCTGACGACTAATGACGTTGAGTATCTTTTCATGTGTTTTGTGGCCATTTGAATGTCCTCTTTGGTGAAATGTCTACTCAAGTCCTTTGGCCATCTTATGATTATCTTTTTGTTGTTAAGTGTATTTGTAGTTTTTAGTTTTTTTTTTAAATTGTGCTTTAAAGTTTACAGTTCAAGTGAGTTTCTGATACTTTATACACACACTGCTATGTGACCCTAGTTGCACTCCCCATACTGTAACAGCACACTCCTGCTTTCCACCCCAGATTTCCCATGTCCATTCAACCAGCTCCTGTCTCTTTCGGCCTGCTCATCTCACCTCGGGACAGGAGCTGCCCATTTAGTCTCATGTATTTACTTGAGCTAAGAAGCACACTCTTCAGGAGTATCATTTTATGTCTTATAGTCCAGTCTAATCTTTGTCTGAAGAGTTGGCTTCAGGAATGGTTTTAGTTTTGGGCTAACAGTGTCCGGAGGCCATGTCTTCCAGGGACCCTCCAGTCTCAGTCAGACCATTAAGTCTAGTCTTTTTTACTAGTGTGAATATACCATAATTTGTTTATCCATACATCTGCTGATGGGCACCTAGGTTGTTTCCATCTTTTTGCTATTGGGAACAGTGCTGCAACGAACATGGGTGTGCATATATCTATTCGTATGATGGCTCTTATTTCTCTAGGACATATTCCAAGGAGTGGGATTGCTGGATCATACGGTACTTCTATTTCTAGCTTTTTAAGGAAGTGCCAAATCAATTTCCAAAGTGGTTGTACCATTTTACTTTCCCACCAACAGTGTATAAGTGTTCCAGTCTTTCCACAACCTCTCCAACATTTATTATTTTGTGTTTTTTTGATTAATGCTAGCCTTATTGGGGTGAGATGGTATCTCATTGTAGTTTTGATTTGCATTTCTCTCATGGCTAAAATGATCGAATTTCCTGACATGTCTGTTAGCCACCTGAATGTCTTCTTTGGTGATGTGCCTGTTTCTGTTCTTTGCCCATTTTTTAATTGGATTATTTGTCTTTTTGTTGTTGAGGTTTTGCAGTATCTTGTAGCCTTCAGAGATTAGACGCTGATCAGATTTTTCCTAGCCAAAAAATTTTTCCCAGTCTGTAGGTCGTCTTTTTACTCTTTTGGTGAAGTCTTTTGATGAGCATAAGTGTTTGACTTTTAGGAGCTCCCAGTTATCTAGTCTCTCTTCTGGTGTTTGTGCACTGTTACTTATGGTTTGTATTCTGTTTATGCCATGTATTAGGGCTCCTAGCGTTGTCCCTGTTCTTTCTTCTATGATTTTTATCGTTTTCGATTTTATATTTAAGTCTTCGATCCATTTTGAGTTAGTTTTTGTGCATGGTGTGAGGTATGGGTCTTGTTTCAGTGTTTTGCAGATGGATATCCAGTTATGCCAGCACCATTTGGTAAAGAGACTGTCTTTTCCCCATTTAACGGACTTTGGGCCTTTGTCAAATATACGCTGCTCATAGGTGGATGAATTTACATGTGGATTCTCAATTCTGTTCCACTGGTCTATGTATCTGTTGTTGTACCAGTACCAAGCTGTTTTGACTACTGTGGCAGTGTAACAGGTTCTAAAATCAGGTAGTGTGAGGCTTCCCACTTTGTTCTTCTTCAGTAATACTTTACTTACCCGAGGCCTCTTCTCTTTCCATATGAAGTTGATGATTTGTTTCTCCATCTCATTAAAAAATGTCGTTGGAATTTGGATCTGGATTGCATTGTTTCTGTAGATCACTTTGGGTACAACTGACTTTTTCAAATGTTGAGTCTTCCTATCCATGAGCAAGGAATGTTTTCCCACTTATGCAGCTCTCTTTCAGTTTCTTGTAGTAGTGTGTCTTGTAGTTTTCTTTGTGTAGGTCTTTGATGTCTCTGGTTAGATTTATTCCTAAATATTTTATCTTCTCGGGGGCTATTATAAATGATATTGATTTGGTGATTTCCTCTTTGAAGTTTTCTTTGTTGGTGTAGAGGAATCCAACTTATTTTTGTATGTTTATCTTGTATCCTGATCTTTTGCTAAAATCTTCTATTATTTCCAGTAGTTTTTTTGGTGGCTTCTTTGGGGTTTTCTGTGTATAAGATCATATCATCTGCAAATAGAGATACTTTTACTTCTTCCTTACCAATTTGGATGCCATTTCTTTTTCTAGCCTAATTGCTCTGGCTAGGACCTCCAGCACAAGGTTGAATAAGAGTGGTGATAAAGGGCATCCTTGTCTGGTGCCTGTTCTCAAGGGGAATGCATTTGTAATTTCTGAAAGTTCTTTGGGTGTTTCTAATGCACAACCTGAAAACCAGAGACCTGGACAAATACCCACAGAAGCACAGAGACAGCAAGGGCCAACCTTAGCTCCCTAGAGGCAGAGCCTGGCACGTGCAGTCCAGATGCTCTCCTGCAAGTTGGAGACTGCCACTGGAGTGGCCAGGGGGATGTGGGAACCAGGTGATGAGACCTTACCTTGGAGATCAAAGCAACATGAGCCCTCCTTCATCTGAATACCAGCCCAGAGCTTTGGCTCTCTTTGAGCGTGAACAAGACAGGGCCTCGGAGACACTAGGGGCACAGCAAGTCTCCCCTGGCAGATGCCAGGAGGACACTTGGCCGAAGAGATGAAAACAGACCTAGAGACTGAAGGCCTAGGGACAACGTACAGTCAGGAAACAGTAATGCCAAAGCCTCGGACACACATCCCCACACTCCCAGCATCTCACATGACTGTCTCAGCCCTGACCAAGGGCTATGTGCTTTCTGAGTAGCTGTGTCTGAGCAATGAGATTCCATGAGCCGGAAGCAGGCTTCCCCTGGGACTCAAAACCACATCCTAGGGAGAAGCCTGGGAACGCTACCCAATCCCAGGGCTCCAGGAACCAATAAGCAATTACTTATTAAACTCCTACATGCCAAGAATAGACTATGTCCAGCCACAGAGACCAGGACAAGAGCCCTGCTTGATGGTGAAGGGGTGGAGGGACTCCCACAGGCAAGTAAGCAGAGACATCACACAATGGGGGTATCCAACTCCAGAGTCTTTTAATCTCAACTCTAGAGCGCTGCGTCAGGCCAGGTGCCTGGACCCCTGGGCCACTCTCCATCTCTTGGGCCCCATGACCAAGCCCTGGCCATGCTTCTCACTCCTGGGTCTTCACATTCTAGTGTCTGGTTCCATCCTCTCACTGGTCGTTGACGGTGACTCCTTCTGCTCAGCCTCCTCCCATGCCATGAGCCCTCCACTGTCACCACTCTGTGGCCTCCCTCACAGCTGATCCATCTGCAGGTCCCCTCCCAGGGGACATCAAAAGTCTACACTGGGACCCCTGCCCCCTGCCTCAGCTCCCATCACTACAGCCAGTAAAGCCTCAGTCAGAGGCCCTGCCTCCTCACCCGCTGCCTCCACAAGCCCCACCAGGGCCAGGGCCCGCTTCCGTGGGCACTGTCCTGGCCCCAGTGTCCAGCGAGCACAGTGGGCAGCCAGCCGGGGCCGTCCCAGGCGGAACACCTCACCCACTGACTCTGGGCCACCCTGGGGCCCCAGGTGAATACGGCCCACAGCCTCTTCCAACTCCTCCTCCAGCCCAGGCAGCAGGAAACGACCAGCAGCCTCCAAGGCCTCCTCAGCCTCTGAGCCAAGCAAGGGCTGGCCTGGTGGGGGCACGGGCCCCAGAGCAGCCCCGCAGCCCCGGCAGCCATGCAAATGATGCAGGACAGGCCAGGCTGCACTGGGTGACAGGCCTCGAAGTGGCACCAGGTCCATCTGGGCTTCGACAAAGCTGCCAGCGAGCAGGGCCCGGAAGAATGGGGAGGCAGTAGCTGAGGTAGCCCGCTGGGCAGGGAGTCGTAGGCCTGAGTCCAGTAGGAAGTGCAAGTCAGGGGCTGAGACAGGGGCTGGACCCAGCAGAGGTTCATAGAGGCAAGGGGAGGGCAGGTCTAGGTCCAAGGGGATTGCAGGTGGGAGGACTAGGCTCACAGTGGGAGACATCAGGCCTTGGAGGCAGGAAAGAGAGTCTGCGGCAAAGAAGAGGAAGAGTGGGTGCGGGGCTGGCCGGGTTAGTGCTGTGAGGAGGAGACGGAGGCCTCCCTGGTCCAGAAGTAGCCGGCGCCACAGAGAGGGTTTCCTACAGGGAGAGGGAGAGCCTTTCAGGAGGGCAAAAGGGGCGGAACTGGGGAATGGCGATGTTGCCACCCCAACGCCTGCAAGGCACACCCATCCCCCTCACCGGCAGATGAAGGGCAGGGTCAGTGCGCAGGCCACACGGTCCTCAGGGCTTCCAGAGAGCAGCAGATGGGTGAGGGCACCCACTCCAAAGGGAGATTCGGCCTGCACAGTCAGGTTCTGCAGCAGCATCTCACCTGCAGGGATAGGCAGAGCAGGTCAGGTTGGGAGCTGGTGGTCAGGGCAAGACTAGGGCGGGATGGGCAAGACAGGACTCTTGACCCTTGAAAGGAAGGAGGGCAAGAAATCAGGGCACAGAAGAGGGAGCTGACTGCAGGCTTTGGAGAGGTGGAGTTAGGAGGCTAGAACTGGAGAGCAACGGCAAGAACAGAAAGTGGGGTGGTCAGGGTACAAGTTTGAGTCATCAGGCCTGAAATGGTCTACGATCAGGGCACAGAAGACAGGGAAGTCCCTGGAGCGTTGGAAGGGGAACAGTGTGATGGCACGGTGCCTGCACCTGGGTTCACAAGGCACAGTGTGCCCGTGGGGAGGGCAGTCTGGCCAATGCAGAACCAAGAGTCAGACTGGGAAAAGAAACGCAGACCGGCAAGATTCTAGTCGTGGGGTTCAAGCCTGGGGTCAGGGTATCTGGACCCGAAGGCTTGGGTAGAGGATGGGGCAGAATTCTGTGTGCTGGGGCCATGGAGCAGTAGGGAGTGTGAAGCCTCTCCTCCCCGCGACCCTCAGTGGCCGGGGCTGTGGGGATGGTGGGCTGGGGAAGACAGTGAGAGTGCCTGTGAGTGGTAAGGCAAGTTTCTGGGCCCAGGGACCTCCCGTGTGGGTGGGGAGGAGTAAGGACACACCCAGTTCCCGGTGCTGACTGCGGAGGGCAGGCCGGGCACGCGGCGCGGGCCAGTCATCGGGAGCAACACCAAGCACCAGCCAGGCTCGCAGCAGCGCGGCACCATAGCTACGCACGAAGGCCTCAAGGCAAGCCGGGTTGCAGGTGAGGCGCGCCAGGATGCGCAGGGCACGCGGGTTTGGTGGGCCAGGTGCACCTGTCACGTAGGCTAGCAGGCCGCACAGTGCTGGGCCTGTCACAAGTGCCCCACTTGGGTCTGGAACCTGGGAGAAGCGTGACAGCAGCAGCAGCGCCGGCCCCTCGCGACCCCAAGGTTCCTCTGTGGTAGTGGCGGGGTTGCGTCTGGGGGTGCACAGTGTGCGCGGCGTCTGCAGCGAGGTTGGGCCTGGGGCAGGGCTGGATGGCTCAGAGGGCTCTGGTGGCAGGCAGCGCTCAGGGGACCAGTCGGGAGAGACGTCTCCAGGGCCAGCAACATAGCCCTCGGAAATGAGCCATGACCTGCAGAGGGGGAGAAAGGAGGGAAAAGAGAAGGAGACTGGGCCCAGAGCCCAGTCAAAAGGAGGGGTAGCCAAAGGAGAGGAGGCGGGCCCAAGGGGGGAGGGGAGAAAGAGAGGTAGGACAATAAATACCCTTAATAGCAACATTGGAAACCCTGGTGGCATAGTGGTTAAGTGCTACGGCTGCTAACCAAAGGGTCGGCAGTTCAAATCCACCAGGTGCTCCCTGGAAACTCTATGGGGCAGTTCTACTCTGCGCTATGAGTCAGAATCGACCGAACAGCAATGGGTTTGGTTTTCTGGGTTTAACAACATTATGTGCCAAGCCCTACTCTAGCGGCTGAGGAAAACTTCACCTGGAGCTTACAAGGAATTTGTCTAATGAAGGGAAACAGATAACAAAATAAATAAGTAGATTATATGTTAGATAGTGTAAAATGACATGGAGAAAAATAAAAGGGAATAGAAGAAGCTAGGGAAGGGAAAAGGAGCCCTGGTGGCACAGTGGTTAAGCGCTCAGCTGATAACTGAAAGGTCAGCAGTTTGAACCCACCGGCTGGGAGAAAGATGTGGCAGTCTGCTTCCGTAAAGATTTCAGCCTTGGAAACCCTATGGGGTAGTTTCATTCTGTCCTATAGAGTTGCTGTGAGTCGGAATCAATTCAATGACAACAGGTTTGGTTTTTTTGGTTTAGGGGAAGGGAGAGCTGAAATTTTAAATAGGGTGGTGATGGTAGCTCCCACTGAGAAGGATCAAGGCATACAGGAATGTAGGAGATCGAGATATATAGGGAGAAGAGTGTTCTAGGCAGAGAGAACAACAAACAGGCCCTGAGGTGGTAGCCAACCTGTCATGTATAAAAAACTAGTGGGGAGGCCAGTGTAGAAGAATGTAGTGATCACTGGGGAGAGTGGTAGCAGATGAAGTCAGAGAGTTTACAAGAAGGCTGACATTTATCGAGCGCTGCTTAGTGGCAGGCAAGGTGCAAAGTATCCTCATTTAATCCTTACAACCACCCTATGGGGTAGGTATGTTACAGCCTGCATTTTACAGATAAGGAATTGGAGGCTCAGAGAAGTTAGCTGACTTTTCCACGATGCTTCAGCTTGGGAAACCAGAGTAAGAACTCAGACTCCAGAGCCTACCATTTAAACCAGTAACATACTGCCTCCCAGTGAACCTGTCTGGGCCCAAACTTCAGAGGTACTGGGGCAGGGCCAAGGACAAAAGATGAATCCACGGGAAAGGGGATATGTTTAATGTAGACTGAAAAGAAGTCATGTCATGTTAGGGGAACAAAGAATTAGTCAAGAGTCAATAAAAGTCATAAACCTTCACCGAAAACACAATAAAATATTCAAAAACATAAATAAATAAAAATCTTACCAGGCAAAACTGGGGCAGGGGGGATAGTGAAGAGGGCCAGGACACAAAACCCCACCCCACAGCACTGCCCACCCTCCCAAGTCCTGAGGTAGGGCTCACCTGAGGCTTCGGAAGCTTCCAGCCTCTGCCCGCTCAGGGGTCCGCTCCTCAGGGAAGTCCCAGGAAGCAGCTTCTCTACCCTCTTCTTCCTCATCACCAGCCTCACCACACAGCTGCCCAGTCAGGAGGGGAACAAGCCCCAGGGCCTGTAGCCGGCCCAGGGCCCCGGTATCATAGAGGAAACCCCCAAGGGCGGCCACGACACGTGGGTGCCAAGCTCTGGCACGAGAGTCGCCAAGCAGGCCCATCAGCAGCTCCAGACCACCAGCGTCCCGCAGCCGGGCCCGGTTGATGGCCTCCCTACAGAGCAGGCAGACAGCCCGCACCAGGGGCTGCTGGGAGGCTGGATTGGCTCCATTAGGGCCTCGGCGCCGCCGGAGCTCTTCTAGTAGCACCTCCACGCCACCAGCATTGCCCAGTGCAGGCCGGACCAGGCCCTGGGCACACAGGTTGGCAAGGGTCAGGATGGTTGCCTCACGCACAGCCCATTTGGGGTGAGAGGCCAGGCTGACAAGTGGGCCCAGCCCCCCGCCCAGACTTAGCTGCTCAGCACAAGCCCGGGAGCAGCCTCGGCTCAGCTCCAGGAGGGCACGGACTAGGGCTGAAGTCAGTGCAGCGTCTGGAGTGGCGGCCAGGAGCTCAGCCAGTGGACGCACTGCTCCCTGCTGTGCCAGAGCCAAGCGGTGCTGGGGGGAGTCCGCAAGGTTACGGAGGGCACGCACCACACTCTGCAGGCACTGCGAGTCCTGGCAGGCCGTCAGGCTCTCAAGGAGCAGGGGAACAGCACCTGGAGAGGGAAAGGGGAAGTGAGAGGGTGAGCAAGGCCAGATACACAAGGCCCTCTCCTACCCCAAGCTCTAGCCTAACCCCAACCCCCCAGCCTTCTCACCAGCAGAGTGGATGTCCCTACAGCTCTCAGGTTCCATGGCTAAATTCCCCAGAGCACGGGCTGTTCGGTTCTGGATGCTGTCTGTCTTCACACACTGAAGAATGGTCACTGCAAGGACAGGTTGGCCGTCTATTTTCTCTCTCATCAATCACCTCAAGAATGTAGCCTGAGAGGTTCAGGGAAGGCCTCCAGAAGACACCAGCACTTGAGCTGGGTCTGGAAGGCTAAATAGGTAAGAACTTGCTAGGAAGATAGTGGTGGGGATGTTACAGGGCATTTCAGGCTTGGAAGCAGCCTATGAAAAGGCCCAGAGGTAAGGCTAGTGTCTTTGCCATGGCCTCAAATGCCAGGCCAAGGGGTCAGGTGAGGGCACTGGGAAGTACACAGGGTTTTAAGATGGGGAGTGGTATGATACAATCTAGCAGCCATGTGGAGAAAGGATTACAGGGGAAAGGAACAGGGGCGGGGGAGCAGTGAGGAGGAGGCTGTTGTACTAGTCCAGGTGAGAAAGGACAACAGCTTGAACCAAGTCAGCTACCAGCACTCCCAGCACATTGGCACCAGTCCCTGGGCATATGGTGGAAGTGGGGATAGAAAAAAGTGGATGGATTCAGGAGATATTTAAAATGCAAAATAGACTGAATGATGTGGGAGTTATACAGTGGAAATAAAACCTATCATTTATTGAGGGCTAATTAAGGTACCGGAATCCCTGGGTAGGGCAAACGGTTAACATGCAAGTTCGAGTCCACCCATAGGTACCTCAGAAGAAAGGCCTGGCAATCTACTTCTGAAAAGTCAGCCATTGAAAACTCTGTGGAGCACAGTTCCACTGTGACACATATGGGGTTGCCATAAGTTGGAACTGACTGGACAACAACTGGTTTAATTAATGTGCCAGACCTCTTATCAAACAAATTATGATCCAGATGCATTTTATGCAAGTTTAAAATATGTTAGTACTTCACTTTATCCAGGAAACCCTGGTGGTGTAGTGGTTAAGAGCTTTAGCTGCCAACCGAAAGGTCTGCAGTTTGAATCCACCAGGTACTCCTAGAAAACCCTATAGGGCAGTTCTACTCTGCCCTGTAGGGACGCTATGAGTCGGAATCGACTCGATGGCAACGGGTTTGGTTTGGTTTTTTTTCCCACTTTATCCAAAACATTAAAATTTTCTCAAAACGGGCATAAGGCAATGATGAGTAGTCTGTGTTCGCATCGTTGCCACTAGGAGGCGCCAATTTAGCTGATAAACAGAAAAGCTTGCTCTCCATTGTCCGGATTTGTTCTCCTGTGCGTTTTTAATAACTCAAGGCACCCAGCTCATGCTTAGAGTATCTGTGTTCTATGTTTGTATTTCGTGTTCTGTTAGTATTTCATTTTCTCCCACTCCGATTTTGAGAGGTAACTATTATTATCTCATTTTACAACAAGGAATCCTAGCTTCGGAGGGGCTAGGTGAGTTGGCCAGATGGAAGCAATGCAACCCATGTCTGGCTGGCTGCAGAGCCCACCTCTCTGAACCACTACATCTTCTAGCCTCCAGCTCATCAACTGGGGTGTCAAAGCCCAGGGCCGTACACACAGTAGGCATTCAGTGTCTGCTTATGAACATCATAAATGGAAAATAGGAATCATCTGAAAAAGTCACCTAGTAACCCTCTGGTCTCCACTAGCCCAGGTGCGAGAAAAGCCCGACAAACAACGTCCAGACAATTTTGCGGTCGGGGGTGGGGGGATCGGGTATAACATAGTGAGCGTGACGCCACGGGGTGTGACAGCGTGAGAGATGGGGGCGCTGCAACGTCACAAAGCACGTTCTCCCTGGCACACAAAGGACTGAAGACTCCGCCAAGGTTCAGACAAGGACGGAGGGGCGGGTAAAATCGTTCTAGGAAGTGGGAGCGGAGCACTTACCCAAAGGGAGAATACCTCCGAGTCTGCGCACTTCAGCCCGGCACGCCCCTTCCGTACAGCAGTTGGCGAGGATGCTGAGGCCCAAGTCCAGCGTCTTGCGCAGGCGCGCTGGCGGCGAAGACGAGGAGGACGCAGAGGGGGCGGAGCCCGGCGGGGAGGCGGGACCAGCAGACACCGCTGAGGGGGCGGAGCCCGGGCTTGCCTGGGGCGGGGCGGGGTCCGCTGCAGCCGCTCGCCGTAGCAGCGCAAGAAGGGGGCGGAGCCCGCCGCGTGCCCGGAAGCGCTCGATTCCCCCTGCTGCCTTGACGTGGCGCGTGCGGAGGGCTAAAAGCGCACGGCCTAGGGGTGTCTCGCTGGTAGCTGTGTCCTTTTCCCCACCCGGACCCTCCCCGGCCGCCGCCGTGAGCTGCGCGAGGCAGAACGAGAGCGAGTCCGTGGGGGTTGGCTTTGCAGCCGCCATCTTGGCTCGGGCTGAGGCTCCGCCCCCCCTCCGCTGCTCGTCTGAGAGGAGCCAGACTGAAAAGGAGGGGCGTGGCCAGGCACCTCCTCTCTGACGCTTTTTAAGTAGCGCCGCCGCGCTTATCAAGCAAGTCGGAAGTTGTAGTTCTCGATCCCGGAACTGTGATTCTTGCACAGTCGCAGAAAGCACATCGTGGTTCACTACGCACCGTGCGAGCCCAAGAAGCGCGCGCGGTGCGTGCTAGGATTTGTAGTCCGTGCCAAGCTTAACACGCCTAGTTTAGAACGAATGGGAAACTCTCCTAGAGGCCTCCAAGTGGGCTGGCGCCACTGGAGAACCCAGACATCCATGAAATCTCCATACGGTGCTGCTCCAGGTAACTCGACTACTCCGCCTTTGGCGTGTCCCCGGCAGCGACCGCCTTCCCTTTTCCAGGATCGCTTCGTTGACCCCCAGCGGTGCCCGTGCCCAAATATTCAGGGTGATGGACTCTGAGAACCCCGAGCTAGGCCGACAGTGTCAAGTTCCTGACAGCGGCCGCAGACGGGGAGCTCTCGCTCGGCCAGGTGAATGAGAGGGTTAAGCCCACCGAGACTGGTTGCCGCCGCTTCCTAGAGCAGCACGGGCTTCTGGGCATTTCCGTTTCCGGTACTGGACCCCCTGGGTCTTGAGTGTCTCCTCTAGTTAGTCCTTGTGCAGTGAGTGGCCGGTGTCCACGAAGCAGGGCGCTCTTCATTCACAGTGGAGTGGGTGGCTCCAGAAGTGTTGTGGGAGAGCCTGGACGGAGCGCAGCGGCGAAAGAACCGGGGTGAACCCTGAGGTCTCCGCTTGATTGCGGGGTTGTTCCTCCAAGTGGCCCTTCCTGGTGTGGCTAGGGCAGCCAGCCTCCCAGGACATGCATCTGGGCCTCCAGTGCCGGTGTAGATGAGGCTCTGGCCCTGGGGAAGAAGAAGCCCTTGCTAAGACCTGCTGTCTTGCACTCCACAAAGCTTTCAGGTGCCAGGAGTGTGGACTAACCGCAGCCTGCCTCCCTGACCTTATTCACCACCAAAGCAGACACGCAGGTGACGAAACTTACTGCTGTCCAGAGTGTGGCAAAGGCTTCCAACGCGGCCTACATCTGATTAAGCACCATCGGGAACACACTGGCAAGAAGCCCTACAGTTGCTGTGAGTCTGGCAAGAACTTCACCAACAGCTCAGACTGCCTATGGCACCATTGTACCCACAATGGGGAGCAGCCCTTGAAGTGTCTTGAGTGCGGCCTCAGTTTTAGGGAGCCCACCCAATTCACTGAACACTAGCGCATCCACTCAACTGAGTGACCCTATGCCTTTGTAGAATGTGGTAGAAGCTTCTACCACAGTTCAAAGCTCCTTAAGCACCAATGCTCAAACGAGTGAGAAGCCCTGTAAGTCCGCGTTGCAGCTAGAATTTTGTGGACAGCTCAGATGTACTGCAGCACCGACACACTCTCACGGGCCAGAAGCCTTGCACTAGCAGCAAGTGCAGCAAGAGCTTCAGCCAGAGCTCATCCACTGGGTGGCCCACAGCGGCAAGAAACCTTATGTCTGCCTGCAGTGTGGCAAGGCCTTTGCCCGCAGCTCCAACCTAGGCCAGCACCAGTGGATGCGCTGGGGTGGCAGCCCTTGCAAATATCCCTGGCTTCAGCTTCAGCCCAAACTTCAGCTCTGACTTGGCCCAGTCCTTGGAAAGCCTGAGGGGACTAGCGTCCTCTAAGCAAATCTCCTTTCTGCTTCTCTGTGGCTGTTGATTTGTGGGTTGACAGTGGATTGGAGAGGGCCTCCACATCCTCTTCTAGGCCTTCTCTGGGCTGACTCAAGGAACTCCAGGCTGGAGAAATTAGAACACTAGAGCTGTGATCACTGCCTTCCAAGAGACTTCCCAGATAAGAGGGTTTAGATCTGTGAGTCCACCAGTGGGAGGAGGAGTTTTCTCTTGGCAGGAGCTGTCCAGCTACCTCCAGCTGTAGACACTTCCAACAGCTGCTGGCTACATTCTCTTCACAGCCCTAGGAGTGAGAGGGTAATCATACCAGGAGCAACAGCTGCCTCATCCCAGACGAGTGGGACCAGAGGCAAGGCAAGCCCCTGAGCAGTGCAATGGGAAAGAGTATCCGTCATCTCCGGAAGGGACCATAAGGAAGGCTGTGGTTTGACGGCGGCACCAAAGAATTTAAACTTGGACCATTATGCAAGCTATAAGGTGTGTGGTCTCTTTGGAAGACCTCTCCCCACATGAGGGCTGTGTTTACAGGACAAAGCTACTAGGGCTGATGGGGCCCAGAGCCAAAACAAAGGACCAGGAGACTTGTCTGTTGAGTTCAGGGGGTCTTTATGGCATTTCTAGGCAGGGACAGAAGGCCTCAGGTTTGTCATCTACCCCTTCCCCTTCTCTTGCAGGTTCCCTAGGCTTTTTCTCTGCTTTCCTGTCAAGAGGGGAAAAAATGATGAAGATTGACTTGTGCCAGGACACTGGGAACTGAACATGGCCCTTTTGCCTGGTGTGGGTGTGTGTGTGTGCCCAAAAGAGTGAATTTCTACTGGTAAAACATAGGGTATTTGAGGTCCGGAGAGAGTCTTCCAAAGCACTACATAATCTGTGCCTAGAGCAGAGCGTACAAGCTTTGAGACCCTCCCCATAGCTTCCGGTATCTCTGGGAGAGGCACAGGCCATGTAGCCTTTTGGGGTCAGGAGAGGGAGCTGTCTGTTTCCAGGGCCTAATTCCCATCCCTGTGTGACAGTCCTTCCACCATTAGCCACGTGCATCTGGTCCCCTGCCCCCAAATTTCACCACCTTTTACAAGCTTGAAAGCCTGTACCCACACTGGTAGGGACTAGAGAGAAGGAAAGTGAAGTGACCCCACCCTAGGTTTCTAGCAGAGTATTTAGGCTTGCCTCTTCCTGTGTGAGCTTGGACAGGTCTACATCTTCCGAGCTTCAGTTTCTTCATCTGTAAAACAGGAATGGTGATAGCTACCTCACAAGGTTATGGTGAAGATTCCACGGGATCACCTGTGTTGGGAGCAACTCTAAACCTCAGTTGCCTTCTCTTCCTTCCTCAAGTCTAGAGCCCTGTCACTGCTGCTCTCAGTCAATAAGCATCATGCCAGCCCACACACCAGCTCCTGCCTAAGGTTGCAGAAATGAGCAAGACAGATACCTGCTTATGAGTAGCTTGCTGTCTTGTGGAGGGGATGGGCTCGGAACCAGTAACAACACAGGGAGCAATGCTGGCAGTGGAGAAGTGCCTTACCTGATGTGGGTCTGGGAGACTTCATGGAGATGGCATCCAGTGGATAGCACTTGTCTACTCAAGTTGGGAAGCAACAAACACCCCTGGGCAGGGAATCAGACATGGAGAAAGGGTTCTTACCAAGTTCCCCATCAACGGCACTTCAAAGAACACAAGCCAGGCTTTTGGAGTTGAAGGCCTGAGCCCAGCACATAGTAGGCACTCAGTAAGTAATTGTTGTGACTGGGTCCTGATTATATGCTTACTAGCGGCCTTTGGGCCTTGGTTTCCTTATTAGAGGATAATCCCTGCCCTGCCTCCCGTGCAGAGCTGCACTGAATATCAGATGTTGCAAACGTACTCTGCAAAATCTGTAACTGCGTAAGGATAGTAGGTCCTTGGTGGAGGTGGGAGTGGAAGGAGGATTTGTTTGCAGTATCCTTTGCAGAGAGCTGGAAGCTAATTTCTCACATTAAGGCAAGTATCCATCTCCTCCCAAATTGCAGAAACTGGTCCTCCCCAGAGCAGAGAGGCAGGCCAGACCCCGGAAGCAGGAGAGGGGTTTAATCCAACAGGTGTTTCTCCAGCATTCACTGTGCCCTGAGCTGGGAGAAGAGGCAGCCTCACTGTCCAAGCACATGACCAGTGCTTAGGCCAGAGGTTGCAAACACGTCTGCTTGGCCCTCACAGTGTGTGTGTGGTTAAACAATTGAGCCAAAGTTCATACTGGGAGATTTCACATCACAGTCTAGATTTCCAGGGTTTTGTTTAATTAGAAGATTCGGCAACACTGGATTTCCTCAGTAACACCTTGTTGACCAGAGCTGAGTGCTGGCTGCCCCTGACCTGAACAATCTCCATCACTCTGTCGTATCCCTGACTCAGTATGTTTCATTTGTGTTACTTGTCTGAGCCCTACAGAAAGGTATTTGGGGTTACAATCCCAATCCTACACTGCCATGGGTGAGAAGGACCATCTAGCAGTAGGGGGACCTATGCTCATCTGACAGATACCAGCAGAATTGTTAAATGGAGGTGGGAAGTGGTGGTAGGGTAGAGAGATGATTAGATGGTTCTCCCTCAGTCTGCCCCTAAGCTCAGACAGAAGGATGGAGAGGACTTAAGATCAGGCACACGTGATTCTGCCAGCACCTCACCAGGTAAGTCTCAGCCTGCCTTGGGCTTGGTCCATCCAGGAAAATGGCTTTGACCTCTGAGAGGTCACTGGGACACAGGACTGCAAACATTGTAGCATCCTTGGTGCAGAGACTACTCACCGGAACAGATATGCTTAGAAAACCTTTAGTCTGGGGGTCTGTAACTCTCAGCTGATGATGTTTTTCTCAGGTTCCTTCAGCCACCCTTACTCCTGTGGGTGTTGGTCAAGGAGATAGGCATGCTTCCTGTAGGTAATGAATTTAGACTACCTTCCCATCTGTATGCTGACCTTCAGGAAGGAGCACCTTCCTCATTCCTGAGTCTTGAGGCCTCTTCTGGGTCCAGTCATTTCAGCACTTAGGATCACTGGGAATTCAGACCCAACTGCTGACCTGCAGGGGCAGGGCTGGTAGGGGAGAGGCTGAGATGGGGGACTGTGGGAGTACAGCCTGGGATCAGGGGAGGCTGCCTGAAAGAGTGGATCCTTGGGTTGGACCTTAACAGATGAGTGTGACCTAGCCTGGTGAGGAAGTGAGAGGGCATTCCAGATGGCATAACTGGGTGGAGCCCCCACCCCTCAGTACTAGGCTGGGGGCTGTGGAGTGAGACACTACCCCTCCATGCAGTGGAGCCCAAGTGTCCCTGTGTAAAAATGGTGTGGAAGTGGCGCCTGACCTCTAACTTCACAAGGGGGAAGGAGAATTAAGATCAACAGCCTAAGCCTGATCCCTATGAGGTGGAGGTCAGACATGCCT